CCATTTTTCTAAATCTTGGAAAATACTACAAATTTTACTAAATGAAACGATAATGGATTGGATATAGCAAGTAAATGTTGTATTATATTCAAACAAAAAATGTGATATCTTTTTCAAGTCTTGGAACAATGCTTGATACCAATATACCCACAATTGCATATTTGAATTTGTAAGGGCCTATAAATACTAATTTTCTAACCAAAATATTTAATATATAACATTTTATAATTATTTAAAGAAGAAGTGGACACAAATGGTTGAAATCAAATAATAATTGTTTTGAAAACATCAAAGAATCAGCAAGACTTGTAGAGGAATATTTTAAGAACATTATGACAATGCAACGATTAGATAATAGAAATCAGTTTACATTTGAGTAATTTGTAACATTTTTAAAACACAACAAAAAAATATTTTATATTTTAAATATTGGTTTTATGTATTTTAATAAGATTAATTAAAGTAAATTCATGTCTTAAAAATAGTCATTTTTTCATTCGTCCACATTTAACTAAAAAAATTTCCAAACTTTAATCTTCTTAATTTAAAATATTAACTACTGTCTACTTTTTAAATTTTATTTGTAGAATTTTACCATTTTTTTAAAATAAATCACGGATTTTCATCTTGCATACAAATAAATTTATCCACTATTTTTTGAGCTTTGATGCAATTAAAACTAGCTAGATTAGAATTGTCAAGAGCTATTTGATTGGCGAAATCTTATAAAAATATATCTATTGCTTGTATTTTAAAATATTGATTTAACTAAATATTGTTGCAAAATAAAGTTTGTGGTGTATTCATGAAACATATTAGTAAAAAAAACTACCAACAACTTATTTTTGTTTATATATATGATTGTAATGTGAGTAACTGTAGAATATTATAATGTATTTGAACAACTCACTAGAATGTAAATTATAATTTTTCTGAATTAGATTAAAACATTTACTTCAAGTTATGAATCACAATAATTGGCATCAAAATAATATTTTTTGTTAACACTATTAACAATTCCAAAATTCACAGTGTTTTATAAAAACATCAGGACAATTGAAAAGGATAAGAATGGGGTATGAAAACCGCAATAAGTGATGCATAATTTCATTCTTCATCGTTGATTTTTCTCTCTTCGGTGGATCAAATACTGTGATTCTTTGTATCTTTGATTTAATTGCCGCTTATACGATAAGTTTTAGTTATCAATGTTTCAAAATAAAAATTATATTTGGTGTGCATGTATGTGTGCAATAGCATTTTGTAACCATCCATAATCTTATTCCTTTATCTTTTTCTTTTTCTTCTTCTAAATATCACCAATATTCTTCAAAAGACATGAGTCCAAGCAAAATCAAAATTGCTCATGGTTTGGATTACTTGTAAATGTTGATAATAAATGAGATTCCACGTGTATATACAACTTCACTTTCACTTTTCATTGCGAAAAAAAAAAAAAAAAAAAAAAAAAAAAAACACACACACACACACGATGAAAGGGGAGCAATGGGTTTAATCTCATGTGATGTTAAAGTGGGGTAGAAAAGTAGGAAAAAACTAATATATATATATATATATTAAAAAAATATTTTATTTTCTATATTTTTAAAAAAGAGCTTAGAAAAAACAACAACCTCAAGCATAAATGACCCACCGTGCCAAAAGGAAGAAGAAGGGAACCCTACAACTGCTCAACTGCACTGCCCCCTCCCCTCCTTTTTACTTTTAAGAATTTCCAGTCCAGGTCATCCTGCCCGTTGGATAAAAAAGACAGTGACCGGGCAGGCACCGAAGAAAATTTGGCCAGAATAGCTCGTTTTAATCTGAAAGGACCGTTCCACACTGGAATCTGCGCAAGCTGAATTGGCCCCGATCCCAAATACTCGACCAATCCGATAGCCACTCCGCTTAGGACACCCGAGTCTCGTTCAAACAAGACCCATGCCGGAGCATCAGACCCCGTCCTTGCATGCATGCATGGCGGGGGTGGTGGACTTGTAACGGGGGTGGGGTCCTTTCAAGCCTCTCGTGTTTTCCCACGTGGACTCCCATGGATGAGCTTTCTGGATTTTTTGGATCTATCAGTGAGCTCCACGTGGACTCCTCCTGGGAAAGGAGTGGCTGAGTTGGCAGCGGAAGCTTCTCGTTGCGGCCATTTGGGTCGCCCGTTGCCATGCGATCGGTGGCTCATCGGACGGCATGCCGCGCGCCATGATGGCAAGGGGATCGTGGGACGGGTACCGACAGAGGAAGTGGTGGTTGAGGCCCGCAGTTCGGGTCCCGCCTGGCTCGACTCGGCCCGGCTCGACTTGGCCCGGCCCCTTGATCATTCACAAGCATTGGCATTTTCAGGTGGGGGGGGGGGGGGGGGGGTAAAGCAAGGGAGTTTTGAGGTCTCTATGATTGTGGTCCTTTTGTATTTATATGTCTCTCGATCTCCCTCAAGTTTGCGCTTGATGGATGGGGATATTCCACGTCAACATAGTCGCTCACCATTCACAAGGAAACTCCCCAACTCATGGTTCTTTAGTGGAATATAAAAAGCAAAGTCAAGTCAAGTTAAAAAGTTAAAAGTAATTGGTGTTAGAAATGGGATATTGGAAAGTCCCATGTGTTTTTGAGTTTATTCTCTTAGGAAAGAAGGGTAATAATATAATGATAAGATGAGTTAAGAAAAGTCATTAAGGAAATATTGTTTAAGACTTGGTTTTGGAATGTGTTGGGATGGTAACCAAAGACATAACACATGGGAAGAAAAGTTTGATGATACTTTTTTCTTTTTTCTTTTTAACCTTGTGCTTGTTTTCATGCTTGATTGGTTGAGCTAAATGCATTCACACCATGAGCTAAAATACCCATAGGTCATGTATATTATTTTTTCCATTAATCTTTAAAAAAATATTGAATTGAAATCACATTTTGTTGATAAATAAAAACTTGTGCTCTTTGATGACACTTAGTGTTGTGAGATTATCCACGAATTTTTTTGCCACAAAAAAACATACCATTTTGTTTGTTTGTTTTTTTTGTTCCACATTTTTTTCATTATTAATAACTCCATTTTCAACAATAATCACTGTTGTGGGAAGTTGTGTTCGAGAGTTCTCTACACTTGCTGGTAAAAACAAATGTATTTTATTAAAGGAATCTAATTTGAATGAAATTGACATTGTGCCTAATATTTAAGTGTTGTTTCACCAACTAGCTTGAAATGAGTAATTAAATTTAAGTTATTATTATTATTATTATATATGTACACTGTTTTTTGAACAAAAATCTGGATGTTGTCTTCATAACATCATTTCTGTTGATTCTAGTTGAATGACATATTGAAAGATGATAAATGCCTGGATTCCAATCTTTAATTGCGAATAAATTGAGCAGAGTCGACTGTTTCTAAGGATCCTTAATTTGTAACAAATATATCCAATAAGCGTGAATTAGTATGAATTGGTGACAAAATAATTTTTACAATACTTTCAAGACTGAACAATTATTGCAAGCACCAAGATTTTTACACTTTGATGAAACCGGTTATAATTTTGAATTTAACGAGATTTTAATGACTTGGATAATTAATCGACCCTTGTAATTATTTACTGCATGTATACATACATACATACATACATACATATTATACTTATTTCAACATCAAATTTGTGATGTTTGTTAGAATGTGGCTTTTGAAAGAAGAGATGCAAATTTACCAGATCTTTCAAAGATTAAATCAAAACTATTAATAGCAATTAAATATAACCGATGATGAATGAAAAAAATATGTTTGCAAGAAAGTAGTCAATAAATGCAGCAAAAAAAATTATTCGAGAGATTTAAATAGAATCAAAGATAGTTGAAAAATGATGTGTTTTCTTATATATGTATGTGTATATATATATATGTATATATATTTTTCAAATATGCTTGACCGAGTTAAAGTAAACTTCAAAGAAGAGAACTAGTATAGCTTATTTGGAATCATGTACCATGATCAATTTATAATAATAAATACGTTTTAACGTAACTTCAGGACTTGCAATAAGATTTAATTCCTTCCTTCTCTCTCAGTTAATGGGTTTTTTGGGAATTGTTTTATTTAATTTTAATCATTTTCATCAAGCTCAATGTGGTTGCTACTCGATACTTTAAAGTCATTAATTTGGCTTAAAAAATAAATAAATCATCTTCCTACTTTCTCGTGATAAACTTGAATAAATAATAATATTTTATAATTAAAATGGGGATTTAAAAATATATAAATCATGAGCAGGCAGCCAAATTGTGGTGCAGTGACGAACGTACACCGATCGACGAAGTTTGGATGAATCGTAAAGCATTCATCCAAAGAGACCGTGGGAATGGGTGGCGAGCAATGGGCAACACTCGAAGGCGCATTCCAAAGGATCCGGATGCACGGGGATGACGTGGAGGTCTCCACGCCTCTAGAAAGTTGTTGGTCCTGGGATAGAAAGAAAGACCCAGCAAGATGCTTCTGCTGCGCACCAGGACGTGGGTGTGAACGCGTCCTCCCCCGGGGACATGGCACGGCACTTCCATCCGTACATCATCCATCCACGTATTCATCCTTCAAGACATGCAGCCCACCTCGGTCCCATGTCCTTTGCTTTCACCTTCTTTATCCCCATGGATGGGTAGGCAGATCGGAATGACAAGGCCAACACGGTAGGATGGATGGATGAAACGAAAACCGAGTTGTTACAATGAAGCACGTCATCTATCCTCGAGAGAGAGAGAGAGAGAATCTGAAGCAGCTTGTTTTCCCATCAATGGAGAGAGCCATCATGATCAAATATCCCGACGGTACAGGCCTCATCCACGTCGGCACGGTGTTCGTTCCAATCAACCGCGGTGATAGGATCCTCACCTCGTTTTATCCGTGGAATGACCGGGGATGGGATGGGCGACGGCGGGGGCGAGGCTGCGGGGAGGAAAACGGGGCGGAGGAAGGCGAAAAGGGGGGGTCGCAATCATGCACGCGGTAATAATGAAGCGCGAGGGCTAGGAAATGGACTCTCGTGGGTGGGGGCGAGGAAGGGAAGGAAAGGGAAAGGAAGCGATGAGAAGAGAGAGGAGTGTTTCAAGGGAGTGGGGGGAATGTTTTAAGGGGAGAGAGGGAGCGTTGGCGATGGTGAGTGAATGGAGACGACGGCTATGGCGGGCCATGGGTGAATGAGAGGAGAACACTTCCCGAGGGCCGAAAGAAACTGCCACAGCACGAAGCAGCTTACCTGCTTCAGTGAGTGAGTGAGTGAGTCTCGCCCTTTTCCTGTTCCCTTCCATACCAAAAGGTTGTGGTTCTTTGCAACTTCTCCGTCATTCGTTGTTGGAATAAGCGTCGATTCCGCGATCGCTACCACTGCGGTGGTGATGTAGGTAGAGGTAGGTTGCCATCTCATCTTTTTCTAATTTCATTGGATTCTCGTGACTCGTTGTCGGAGATCGATTGCACGCGCGCATCGTCGCTCTCTCTCTCTCTCTCTCTCTCTCTCTTATTCATCAGGTATGGTAAGCTTTCCAAGCAGGACTCGTGTGGCCCTACACTTTCGACAGTTCCCCGTCCATATGTTACTTTCTATTTCTTGTTTGACGAGTGATTTGGTGTTTGGCCCGTCATCATGCAAGGCAGTCTATCCCATCGAATTATCGCATCGCGTCGTCGTGGTCGTGGTGCGGCTGTTGTACATAGATTGGCTTAGCTCGCCACTGTTGTCAGGCTCCTGCAGTTTCTGAAGCCTCGGCGGCGCGCTCTGCCAGACTTCTCTTCGCCTCGTCTATGTTTGGAGGCGAGTTGGTCACTGTTGTTGTTTTTTTTTGTGTTATTTGCCTCGTGGTGGTGTGAGTGTGAGGGGGGATAGTGTGGGGGAGTTTGAACGAGAGGTCGCCGTTCCAGTGGCGTGGATCGTCTGGTGCAGCGGTGGTATCTTCTGGCAGGAAGATCTATCTGTAGTGATTGTGTGTCTCGGGTAGGTTGACGGCTTCGGTTGTGGATTGTAATGAGGAGTGCTCGGTTCAGAGTGGAGAGCGAAATTGCGTCATGGATTTTGAGGACTGCGACTGTGCGTAGTAGGCTAAGCTAGAGAATGATGCAGACAGAGCTAGGTCTCTTAGTATCGCTTTAAGCAATAGGGTCCGAAAACTGAACGCATGCTTGTTGCTAGTTCAAGTTACATTATATATATATATATATATATAAAACTTACGCGAGGCAGTTTCTTGTGTTTTTGAGGTGCGGAATATCACTGCGAATAATCAGAATTTTATTGTAGCATTCCACCAGAAGAACATTCTTTCTTCACCAAAAGAATTTGAAATCATTTTATTAACGGTTGCAGGGAATTGTGTGGCTTTTGAATCTCAGGTGTGAATCGGAGAAGACTTATGACAACCATCGAAGTCCCCGGTATGTAGTCTTAAAACTACTTACTCACAGTTCGGTTCGGGAGATTTGTGGGAGTTTTCGTGCTTTTAAAACTGTAAGCGACGATGAGGTGGCTGCGAAAGGTATCCACACCTTTCAGACGGGTGTGGAAAGCTATTTTCGCCAAGCTTCGTCCTCGCAAGCACAAGCGAGGTTAGTCACCTTTAGGATGGATCACATCATGTTAATCTATTGATCTTGGATTAAGGTTCAGCCTCTTGAATTCCCAACGGTCCTTTTTGCTCACTTTTCATGCTCGCTCTGTAGTACACTCTCTACACGCCGCCCTTGTTTCTGTGACGACTCGTAGGCTTGGGTATCTTTGATTTTACACCATAGCTCTCGGATTTGATAGATAGGTTGTTTCGGGACAGTGCCCGAGTAGATTTTACACGTGGAGATGTTGGGGCTGATTCTCAGTAGATCAACCGAAACCGTGGGAGAGTATAGAGGCGCGTAAGACGTTGCGGCATGCATAGGTTACGATGTGTGGTAGGTTTAGATTCTTACATGAGAGAGGCTTCAGCGATTGGGCTTATCCGAACTAGTAGCTCGATCCTCCGATCGTAGATCACATGTACGGTGCTGAGGTAGAGTCGTATCGGCTTCTACTCGCCCGAAAACCAGTTTATCGTATGACGTAGTTTTCTCTGCAATCAACAAAATGTGAGGGTGAATTCAGCCTAAAGGACTTAAGATTGTCTTTGAGAACTTCGAGGGGCATACTGCGTTAAAGTCGAGGTCGATGAGTAGCAGTCTTTTCTTGCATTTGAAAGAAGATCTCACTTGTATTGCATGAATGTGGGTCCAACCTCTATGAAAGAATGGATTTGTGCAGAATGCCTGTTCCTGATGCCCGTACAGTTAAATTGTCATGTTCAGTTATTTGAATCGTAAATAAGTTAAAAGAACATCGTTCCTTAGGTAATACCTGTAGTGTTTGGCTTTGTTAATGTGCTTCACATGGTCAAGTTGAATCTTTCTAGGGAGAACATTAGTTCTCATGCCCGGTTGTCCTTACCTTGCAGGAAGTGGTGTAGGGAAGTTGTACAACGATGTACTCTCCTGTGGATACGACGATGTGCATACCATGTGGACTATCCTTCACGAGACACACGCTCCCGTCGATTCTCCAAAGAAACATCGGCCGATTGTGAGTTTCCGTTGAGGTACTCGGCAGTGAGGCATGGGCTCCATCCTCGAGCTCTGCGATATGGATAGTGACATCAGTCTGCATATATCCTGATGCTACTATATCCTCATGTGAATAGGTACTGGGAGATACCTGCTCCTGGATAGCAAATCCAGATTGTAAATGTTTTTCCCGGGGTCTAGGGTATCTGCCGTTTTTCTAAATCAAAAAAACTAAAACCAAAAATTCTACTTTTAAGTGCTATGTTTAAGAAGGGCTACTCCTTATCGGGGAAAATGTGCAGGCTGTTGCAGTCGAGCACCCGTAATGAATCTGATGAAGCGTGACTTCATCGGAAGTCATGCAGTAGCCAGAACACAGACCCTTGTCTGACGTTCTGCGCTTGGAATTCTTTGACTAGCAGAGCATGCCGAGATGTATTAAGTTAAATTTCTTTTCAGGGGATATGAGGAGACCCCGTGTAATTTTACGAGATCTATCTGTAAAGTAAAGACACTATGTAAGCTGGCTTTTCCAGTGTCACAGATCACTGCTTATCTTTTCGTGCCTTAGTTTATTTTTTCCTCAGGTGTGTATCCAAAATGTTTATTTAGTCTACAACTCACCGCAAAATGTTCTGACGATTACCTGATGGATTGTTTGGTCACTAGTCATTCAATCGTACATTGCTAGCGGCTGTACCTACTGAGTACCCTGCTTAATTGTTAACAGAGTGGGCATAAGTAGAAAAAACATGTATAGAGGAATTACACTTAATTATTGTTTGACCAATAAACTTGTCTTTAATAGAAGTATTTTTGGTAATAATCATGTAATAAGGTAAATTTGCGTTAAAAATTCAATTGTTTCTGTGGGCTATTCAGTTCTACTACCTTGACAATTAAAATTGCCAACGTTGTATTCTTAAGATGTAAGTTCTGCACAGTTACAGATTAAGAAAGGTAAAAATGCTTAGTCACTCTGCACATCAACAGAATCCTCATGAGGGAGATGGTTGTCAAAGATTGACTGCACTTGGAACGGTACATCTTTCTGCAATACTGGATTTTTTTATTCCTGCATTCAATTCTTTTGTGGTCAGTCTCTTGTACACATCGTTTTTGGTTAAAAGGTCTGTTGACAGTGGGAATCCCCTTACAAGTGGATCATGCTTTTGGCTCTCCTGGAGGTTGGTGTCCTCATAGAAGATGGGTTTGCTGCAGTTTTGCTTTAAGGTCAGAATTTACCAGGCTTCCCACTCAATAGTGATGTATACAAGGGACAGATGACATGGGTTGCTTGACTTCACCATTGCTTGTTGATTCTAATTATCCTCTGAGGCTGATCCCACATGTAACACATGTCTGAGAATGATGCAGCCTTAGATATTTTCTTCAAAAATGTTGTTCACAGTACTGTCACTACATAGCATGATGTGTGTCTGCACCAGTTTTTGGAGTTTGTATACTGCACTAAGTACCTATTGTACTACTGCTTACTGTGTCAATATCCTCACATCAGAGAAAAAGTCATTGTCATTAGGGGGCGTCACAACAGGAGGATACAGTGGAGATATTTTTTTGGAAATTGAGAAGTCAATAGGAGAGAGCCATTACACAATTGACTAGAGAATGTAACTTTTTTGTGGGATAGGAGGAAGATGCTCCATGATTTTAAGAGAACATTTAACAAAGGTTTGAAAAGTGTGTTTGAGGAGTGAGTTTGAAGTTGATGGGCTTTACTTAAAGCTTTCATGTTTTTTGTCTTCTTTTTAATTATAGTAAAGCAACAATTTGATGAAATAAAACAAGTGGTGGTTGCTATGTCAAATAGATGCGAAGCTATTCTATTATGGAGAAGAGGCTCATCACTCTTTTATATGTTGTTACCTCTTGTTATTTTATTAACAGTTTATTATCATTGCTGTTGAGGTGGTGCAACCAGGTTCTAAATCTCACATCTATCCTTCTCATGAATACTTTGCAAATAAATATTTGTATGGAAAGTCTTTCAATAATGGCATGTGAAGTATTATAATTAATATTTGAACAATGAGTCTTTGTGGATTTGGGCCTTTTGTGGTTGGAGTGGGCAACAAATAAAGTGCATCTGTTTAATCAAAGTAGAAGAATTGACAATATTTTCCAATATGTTCATGACTATTGGAGCCTTAGAATAGTTGTTGATGTTTATTCTCAATAACACATTCCTCACAAAGTGAATCTATATGCTCTTTCAATTCATCAAAAAGACCTTTATCCATCTTCTTTTGTCATGTTTTTCTTACAAATTGAAGATTGACATAATTATGGCTATAGTGTTATAACAACAAATCATCAATCTTAAAAATTGATGGCATGGATATGATTTCATGTGCATATTCTAAATGTTTCTATTCAATATAGAGTTTGAAGAACTTATCTTCTTTTCTTTTTTTTACAGCCTCAATGACTTCTTTATTTTGAACTTAGCAACCATATTAATAGTACATAATTGAAATTCTATTATGATATACTATTAATAGTATATATTAGATTTTTTCTTAATTTAGAAAAAAAACAAGATTTAAAGAACACCAACACAGACTCTGGCTTTTGCTTGAATAAAGATGTTGATATTACTACAACATTTAATCTGTAGCTGGAAGTTGTCTATGATTTGGACAAACCATGTATTAAGACATATTGGCTAAAAAAATTTAGAACCAAGATCTCTTGTTTTTCATGAGTTCACTTGTATATCCATTGATATATAAAATATGATTGTCATTTTTTGGTGACAAAAATACAACAAATATGATGTTAATTACAACCAATACATATACCTTAGTTTGCTTTTGTCATGTCTTCTTGATGTTTTTTATGTTAGAATGTCATTTGCTCTTGCATTTATGTATTTAGTGGCCCTTCTTGTTTCACTAGTAATAGTCTTTTTATTGTGATTTGCATCTATTTTGTTTTTTATAATATGTTTAGCATCTAAGTAGATTTTTTTATTCATATTAAAGAAAGCTTGTATATCATTTTATTGGAATGAATTGTCTCCTTTCAATAATGTCTTTTTTTTCAAGAGTTGACTTGTAATCATCTACTAGTTTGAAGGTATACTATTCCAAGCTACCAACATGTTTGAGAATATGACAACAAGAGACTACAAATGAAGTTGGTGATAGTTATAGGTTCACCAAAGGTTTCTCCTAAATTATTTAATTACCTTACCATAGCCTCAATCTTGTTAACATATATGTATGTTTTCATGCATGGTGTAAAAAGCACACTCATAGAGTTAATACACACAAAGTTAGCAAAAGACTTTGCTTAATTATAAATCAACACAACACTAACTTACAAAATATACATCAACCCTAACTTACAAAATGTACATTACATAGTGTAAGACAAATATACTAGCTAGTAGAATCAAAGACTTAAACTAGATTAGAAAATATCTGATCTCACTAGCATCAAATCTTAATCAACATTGTATGCTACATACCAAGCAGCTGTAACTCTATTGGCAATTGTAAATCAACTTTGATAAAAAAGGCAATTTGATGTGATACTAATTCACACTAAAGACCGCTGTTTTGCATGGCGCGCACCCGCGTCGGCAGTCCATACAAGCGGATGAAACCAGCTGCGTCAGCTTGGTTGTAAATCCCACTCCCCTCCTGAAACGATGAGATGTCTTCCCTGTAAAGGCTATTGGGACTCGATCTGCAGGCCACATTTACCGAACCTTTGAAAAGCTTAAGGGTGACTTCTCCCGTGGTTGTCTCCGTCATCTTCTTCATAAACGCATCCATAGATTCGCGGAGAGGATCAAACCATCGGCCTGCGTAGACCAGTTCAGCATACTTCAATGCAAGCAAGTCCTTTGTCTGCAGTCCTGTCGAGAGTGAGAGCCTCGAGTTCACGGAAAGCAACTGCCAAGATGGTGCCTCCGGGAGTTTCATAAACACCTCTTGATTTCATCCCCACAAGACGATTCTCAACCATATCGATACGGCCAATACCGTGCTTGCCTCCAAGTTCATTCAATTCCTCTAGTAGAATGGCAGGGGAGAGTTTGTTGCCGTTATAGCCAACTGGCAAGCCCTTTTCTATCTGAATGGTGACATATCTGTTGATTACTGACAACCCAATCGGAATCAACCTCAAACTAATCTTCAGAGATGAAAACAATCAGGAAGATTCATTAAGAAAAACAAAAAACCAGGAGCAAATTTTCTCACACCGAAACCAACCGTACGTGCCGGAAGAGGAATTTTGATTCAGCAGTTGGTAACAATTCAATGCATACTCAGAATTCTATGCAGATTTTGACACTTACTCGGGAGAGTCTGGAGCATCCTTCGGGTCTACAGTCATCATGTACATGTCCTCCACCGGTTCATTGGCATATTCAATGGCATCCTCACGTCCTTTGATGTCCCACTCCCTCCTCGGTGCAACCACCGCCAGCTTTGGATCGAGAGCAAAGAAGGTCAGCTCAAACCTCACCTGCTCAAAATGGTACTTTAAACCAGAATGTCAGATACGTGGGATCCCTTTGATGAAACAAATTCTAAAAAGAGGAGAAGCTAGTTTTGATGAAGGCAGTACAGAGGGTAGGGGATTAATTGCTATAAATACAGAATGAAGATGAATATGGGTACTTACCTGATCATTGCCCTTCCCAGTGCACCCGTGTGACACTGCATCTGCACCGGGTGCTTTGCGACATCTACCATGGCCTATTGAGTGATGCGCAAAAACCACAAATATCATGAGCAAAACGAAATTCGGAAAACCTCAAAAACAGGGTGAAAACTACTCTCAGCAACTTGAAACAAATCCAAAGCTTCAGAAAACTGAGCAGGGCTAGTAGACCTTGGCAATGATAGGTCGAGCCATGGACGTGCCAAGCAAGTACTTGCGCTCATAAACGGCGCCTGCTCTCAGACAAGGAAAGATGTAGTCTTTCACAAACTCCTCTTTCAAGTCCACAATGAAAAGTTGGCTAGCTCCGCTAGCTTTCGCTTTGGCTTCTAGACCTTCGGTTTCCCCAATACCCTGCACTTGCCAGTGTTAAAAAACATAGAATAGAATAGAATAGAATAAATTAATACTAGTATCTCTCATACCCAATCTTGTTCTCACCAAACTGCTACTACATGGAGTTTCTAACTACTCACAAGTTCCATCTTGTTCTTTAAGGATGCTCATCGATCAAATTGAACGAGCATAATACCTGACCCACGTCAGCCGTAAAGCTTACAACCTCACAGCCATAGTTTTCCTTGAGACAACGTAAAAGTAAAGTGTTAACAGGGCCATTATTCACAACCTGTCCGAGGTGAATTTCTCTTGCTTTTAGCAAACATTCTAATGTTAATACTTTTGAAACTTTTCATAGTTTAAATGTTAAAGGGTGATTTTAGCAAACAACAGCTGCTCTTGAAACCCCCTCCCGTTTTTTTTGCGTTCTTCAACATAAAACTAGAACATTAAATGAGAAACGCAAGGACAAAGCTATCTACTGTGCACCAATATCCTCACCTCAGCCATGGAACTATCACTGATGTGTCTAAACCGCCGCTGTAAGCCAGCACGACTTTGTTCAAAGTCCCACGAATTCCTTCCTTCTTTTCTTCTCTCATCTCGCCGGGAGCAGTAGTTGCTCCGATTCCTGCAATACAAGAATAGCACGTTAATGAGCAGATATTTTCGGTGATTTGAAGTCCCAAAAACAGTCGAAAGAAAGTCCCGAACTGAATATCAAGGTACTACTGCACACTGACAAAAGACTTGCTTACATTCTGCACCATTACCTTGAGAAACTTTGCGTTGAGCACTAACAGTGCAAGATGTTGGTGACATTGCACAAGATGTTTGAGGCACCGTCTCAACTCTTGCTGCAACAACACATACTGTCAATGTAATGCATGATGACAAAGAATTCATAAAATGACATGGGTGACTTGAATATTGTATCCTGTTTCATCTGTTTTGTAAAATGAGCAGCGCACAAACAGATTGTTGATTGTTGTGAAGCAATCATACTACCACACTAAACAATATACCCAAGACTACGTTGCAGAGGCAATTTCATAATCAGAGAATCCAACCAACACAATAGACTAAACATTCAGCATGTTCGAAAATGCCTGGTACAAACTCTGAACATGCGAAGTACATCTTAACAATTGCACGTCTATATTGCTATACAATTGTTGAATGTTGAAGAAAGCGGATTCAAACAATATAGTGTTAAATTGAATTAACCTCATCTGCAAAACAACAAAAGAAGTCGTTGTGTTGTGTTTAAGAAATACAATTGACCTCCGAGTGCATCACAGCAGTGATCGATCCCTCACAGAACTAGCCTTTTCTAGCACTATAAAAGGTTGTAATCTAGCAAGATCGATTGTCACTAACTTCTTTTCGGCACCGACACAGTAAAAATCCAGTCTTGATTTCAACCAGTCGACTAGAAATGTGTGCCGATGCTACAGCTGCAACTTTTGTTGTTGCAGTGTGTGTGTGCGAGCTGGTTACTTGTGACTCAAGCGGTGAGACTGAGTTGGGTGCAGTCGCTATGGTTGCCATGCAAAGTGTAGTTTTGCATGGGTGTGAAGTACATGGGATTTCATGTGAGGTTTGTGTGCGAAGGCAGTGTGGTATTATCGCGTCAACCTGCTCAACTTCTCGCGGGTTCAATACAGCTGTTTTTCCCCTACAACTAACAACCACCAGTTCCAAGATCCCAGTATGGATTTGGGAAAAATGAACAAAAATATCAATGTTTCAGAATCTTCAGAAAGGAGAGCAACGATACAAAGTCAAGGCCACCCAACATCTGGACACGTAATCTAGAAACAAGCGGTCTGATGCACTTTCACTTGCACACGTTCATCACAATTCCCACTGCCTGAATACAACATTTGTACACGTGGGCACTCACGTTTTTCTATATCACAGCTGCAGTGAGCTTTGTATGCAATGCACTGATATACACAGCAATATATTGAGACACGGGTTTCCTGTGTTGCACTTCAATCGATCCAAATAATCTAAATTACTAATTAAAGATAACGATTGTGTGATTCACAATCGCTATCTTTAATTAAACATATCTGTTGACAAATACAGATTTACAGATTTGACACACTTCCCAATCACCACCCTCATCCATGGATTCGGGGAGAAGATCCAACCTCATCTTCATTCTTTTTGTGCTGCTGTGTGTGACTTACAGTAATTGTTGTATTTTATACTTATGGTAGACGTACATTTTTAACAATAGAATTTTGGAATTCAGACTGAACATATTTTTATTGTTATTATTGTTGTTTTTATTCTCTACCAAAAATATATATTGGCTACATGCACATGTAAGTACATTCGTACACACATAGAGAAATAAAACAATCATTAATATGCTATTTATTTAGTAGAATATATAATTTTGAAGCTATAATGATAAATTGATTGCTAATATGGTGAAGTGAAATATTACAATTATTTCTGTTGAAAAGATAAATGAAGAAAAAAAATGGCATATAGTTTAAGTTTTTAGTCATAATTATAAAACATCATCTCAAAACCTTTGATTCAAGAAAATTCTATGAGATTTATTAGTACAAATATTATTGGCTACTAAACCATAATCTTAGATTTTCATAAGAAACTTTGAAAATAACAAGGAATTATGAATATTTATTTTATTTATTTTTATTCTTAGTCATTTTCTTTTACCGATGCATTTTTATTTCAAGGTGATACAAAAGGAAATTATTAAATATTTTTTCATGAGGTAAAGACTTTTTAATTTTATAATTTGATACACTTGTTGTAATAGGCTTAGTTTTGGTCCCAATTGTAGTTTTAGAAAAGAGAAAAATCAAGAAAGAGTTAAAATGGGAATCAAGAAAGAGTTAAAATGAGTAAATAACATAAAAATAGACAAATTGCTATAAATTTGAATTTTTAATTATTGTACAAAAATATAATTATGTTTATAAAAATACACAATCATATATAATCATATTGTGTAATTAGTTTGTAAAAATATACAATCATATTGTGCTTGATTTTGGATTATATAGTATAGATTAAGATTGGTAGCTAAATTTTAAATGTAGTCTTATTCAATTCTATAAAAAAAAATTAGCTTATTTATTAATATATTTTATCTTTAATTTTATTTTTCTTTGTATTGTTTGAAAAAATCTTCTTATATAATTATATTTCAAGTTCTAATAATTTAGTTTTTAAAATATTACAACTTTTCATAAATTTGACATCTCAATCATTTATTAGATAATTTAGACATCCAAATTAGGTCTAAAATATGCTTTTGCAGAAACTAGACTATTTTATTAGCCACATTTCTTTCTCAATCTTTGGCTTTAATCTATTTGGTAGAATACTTTTATGGTGATAACATAATCAAAATTTTGAAGCAAACAACTTGATTAATTATTACGTGTGTTGGCATTTTATTGTAATTGTAATAAAATTGTAGGATGTTATCTATAGTGAGCTTCTGAAAACATGCATTTAAATTTTTGAATAAAAAACATTTAAAAAAAACAACTATGTATTACAGAGGTGCATGGTTTTCAGATTATTATATTAAATTTTAGTCTCATAATGTAACAATCTAATCTATAATCTTTTCAATTTTGACCAAAAATGACCTTAAAGTAGAAAGGAATATTTTTCATCTTATAATTATTTTTTATATAAAATATAAATGCATCATTTTAAAAATATTTGTTGATTAGTTAGGTTTAGTTAAGTAGGAATACAAATACATAGACATCTGTTGATGTATCCTAGATATTGTTGCATAGTTCTTGTCTAGTTTATTAAAATAAGAATAATAATAATAAATGTTTATATATTTAATATTAAAATAACCAATGTACAAAATATGTTAGACATTTTTGTATCAAATTCAAAAATATATTAAAAAAAGTACACAACATAGGTTACAATGGATCATAAATCATTAATTATTCTTGATATTATGTTAAAAAAGTTGAGAAACATCTACAATTAGTTAGAAACTTTCATATTGTTTAAAATCATTTTGTTATAAAAACAATACCATTTAATAAAGATGAATCTTATTAATAGGTAATTCTGTTGATATATTTCCTTGACACAGCAATATGGATAGGAATCATAGTCTTAGATATAGTAGTTTTAAGGTGATTAATGTCAAAAGAACATAACTAGCAAAAGAATTAAAGCATAGTCCACCAAACATATATTTTGAATAGCAAGATAATATAAATTACTTTAAAACAGAATATAATATAATATTAAATTTACTTTTATATTATTTTTAGATTAATGAAACTTCACAATAATACATGAAAGAAATTTTTGTGACTTTGGCACCTTTTATTAGCAATGTATTACTCTTACTATGTAAAAGTATCAAATTTAACAAAAATTGAAAAAATATACATCCACTTATACTATCAATTAATTAATTAAAATTTTATTTATTTTTTAATTTTTTGTTGACTTAAAATATATCTATATATATATATATATATATATATATGTATATTCACATTCTTGAACAAGAATTTTGGATTCAAGGAGGTGAATGCTTTGCACAAAAAAAAGTTTTATCTCTAAATTCTTAGACAACGTCATTCAAAATAAGTTTTAAAACAGCGACTAGTCATAAAATACGTATTTACACACTTGTATATGATGTACCATAGACGGTAATCGTACATATTTGCCGACACCCTGCAATTAATAGAGTTCGAATATCCCCGCCGCGTTCAAGTCGCCTCGTGCAATGCCCGAATTAGGGTTTCATGCGTCATGAATCCGTGCATCGGATTGCCTCGCAATCCCAGTAGACTACAGCGATTCTCCAGCAACCGAGGTTGTGTTTCCCGTGATTCGCTTGATCAGCAGAAAGGTTTTTGACCATAAGTTGAGCTCATTTGGTCGCAGCGCTGAGCAGAAACAAGTGCTTGGAGCGCTGTTGGTTTGGATCCAGAATGGCGTGACTGGAGACAGAGGCATGGTTTACAGAAGAAGAAGAATGGAATTGTATCTAGAAACAAGCGTTCGAGGGAATGTTTGAGCTTGAATGGCAGATATGGCTCGATTGCGGTGTCCATGGCGTGTCGGTGCACTCTCGATCGGATTCTCTGTTGCCATCATCTTTTTCGTGTTGGTCGAGGTAAGCCGTGGTTCATGTTCCTTAATTCGTGTCAGTTCGTCACCAACACGTTTGGTGTCCAGTCTTTCATTATCTGTGGGTGTCGGTGAACTTGGATCTTACTAGTACTGAGTGTTGTGAGTATATTACGAGAACCAAGTGTAGTTCATCGCCACTGAATGTATGAATTGTTGGTAATGTTGGGTTGATTTTACAGGCAGGCGTTACTTAGGTCCATGGGAAGTGAGATTGGTGTTGTAGTGTTGAAGGTTCGTAGATTGTTGAGAGATAGTGAGAAGGCAATGTTGTAAGTAAGCCTTTTTGACTAGCTGGAGTTGTTCCAATGGAGACAGATGCATTTGTTCGTGACACAGCAGAAGTATGCCAATCGAGCATCATTTGCAGTGAGTTTCAGATTTCTCTCTCATGACTAATATCTCCGAATGCCTGTAAAAATGCGTTGCATTATCAACTAGAGTGGCTCTAAGATTAGATAATCTTGCTATGGGTTTTATGCATGGGTAATTCCTACGAGCTGGAGGTTTTGTTGTTTCGCATCGGAGCATACTTCTTATGCATATCACATCTTCGTTGTCATGATGCACTACATGTAAACCTTACATACATGAGACACTGGAATGGTGGGAAAATGGTTGCAGGTAGAAAGTGAAGAGGGTTGTCAACGCGAATTGCGGAAGCTCGGGGATAAAATTTTGACACAACAGACAACCCTTTTTTGAATTAAAGAAGTTTGATGGTTTTTGGTTTGTGATTTGTAACATTGTCGTTATGTCTGGTGTAGATGAGAAAGCTCGGCTGGAGGAAGATAATAGAGTTTTGGGCACTGAACTTGAGGATTTTCAAAGTATGTATGCTTTTTAGTAAAAATGTACTTTGAATTCTCATCAGTATGGGAGAGATAGTTGAGGGCAGCAGCTGTGGGTACCGCAAAATATTTAAACAAGTGGATGATTCTTCATTTTTTGTTGGTCCCCATAGTGAATGTATGTACGTTACCTGCTAAGCAGCTGAAAATTTTCGTTTTATTTGACATTTCATAATCTTTTGACACTAATCATTTGAAACTTTGTGTAGATAAGGAACAATTGGCAAAAATCTCTGGCAGTTCGAAGCTGGTAGGAACCAGTTTGCTCTCTTGGTATTCAAAAATACTAGGCTAGCAAAAGAACAGGACATTGCTAAATGAAGCACCTCAAAATCTGTCAACAGTATTTAGAACAATCAATCTAGAAGATAAACAGTGGGCAATATAAGATACAGATTAGTATGCAATTCGTTTCAAGGGTTTAAGTCTTCAAAGCTAATGACTGTAGTAGTAGGTGCGGTGAAAGGGCCATTTTTTTAACTTATACAGTCGGCTTGAAGCAGGGACCAGTTGCTGCTGTGGTGATTATGGCTTGCAACCGTCCTGATTATTTGGAGCGTACATTGAAGTCTGTAACTAAGTACGTAATTTCTGTACTATTGGATTCCCAACTCTTGTGGTAATGCAGCAAAATCGGCTTGCTGCATGCTTTATTTTACCAATGGCAAGTTTTGTGCATTAGCGAGTGCTTTACAATGACTGATGTCTTGTCCTTCTCTCTCCGCCGCATATGGCCCTGCTTTGTATGCACCCTACATTGCCTGTAAATACCCTAGTTCCAGGTGCCTTCTAAACGAAATGGGGCCATGTTTGTAGATATCACAAAGATGTGGCGGAGAAATTTCCACTTTTTGTTTCTCAGGTAATCGTTTTAACACTATTTCTCACAAGGTCTATGATACAACACTCAGGAATTAATTCGCTTATTGCATTGTGTCTATGCTTGCATCTCATTCATTTGCAATTAATTTTTAAGCGGCAGTTTATGGTGAGTGTTTTTGGTAGTGCAGGATGGCTCGAACCAGGATGTCATGGATACAGCTCGAAGCTTTTCTTCAGTGAATTTCCTGCAGGTAATATACTTACCGTCATAAGTTAGTTCGACAGCTGGTAGGGTTGCGACAATCGAATGTATGTTGGAGTGCGCTTTCGAGCTGGGCCCATGCTATCCCAGAAACCATGGATAATAACCCTTCCTCGGTGTCCGCCTAACACTATGGCCAATTTACTTACCACTTTGAAAAGCTCCCAGGCTTTGTACCCGGATCAGATGATCGTGGTTAGCCCACCGTTTTAGGCGGATGTTAATGTGGTCACACGGATATGGTCGCAATTTTTCTTTTGTTTCAATTCCAAACTTGTTTAGGTGATGAAGACATGTAAAAGGTGGCAGTTGTTGCATTTTCTTGTGACGTCATTGATTGTCTAAAACTGCGAAGTGGGAATCAAAAATGAGAATGTGTCGCTGTTTGTGTTCATTTACTTCAGCAAAGTATGTGAGATTTTCTGATTTCTCCAAGTGTGCTCGAGAACTGGGATGACTCATTTGGCTATCTGCCGTAAGAAGCAAAATCTAAAATTCTGTCAAGTTAATGTGACTGCGGTTGTTCTCATCAATTTATGGACTGAATGCTCGAGCCCTGTTTCTGCTTCTGTGGGGTTTCAGCATTTAGATGAAAATCCTCCCAAGACAAGGAACCCTGGAGAGATAATCGCCTATTACAAAATTGCAAGTGGGTGTCTTATCCAACCTTTGTTACTTGCCTTTCTAGGTGCTTTAGTACATCAAAGCGGCAAAGGTCTTACAGTAAAGCGGAATCTATTTTACATGTTTTCCTCGTAGGATGACCTGAGGCTCTATTTATATTTCAACATGTCTGTCGTTTAAATTATCTCAGTGGATGATTACACCTGCGTCCAACAGGTCATTACAAGTGGGCTTTAACACAACTTTTTAACAAGCGGGACTTCCGAAGGGTCGTCATCTTAGAAGGTGGGTCTGAGCATTGTTTAATTTGATTTGGGCCTGATCATTGTTTAATCAGAACGAAGATACGGGTAGTAGAAAATTGTAAGCTTAAACTATTTGAGGGTGGTTCGAAATCTTAGAGAAGATGTAGATTGAGAAGTTCACACAACCCTGGGTCTTGCTTGCATTGCAGATGACATGGAAATCTCTCCCGACTTTTTCAGTTACTTTGAGGCAACTGCTCCTTTATTGGACACGGACAAGTGGGTGTTAGTCATTTGTAGCTTCTACACCATTTTTTAGATTGCTCTCTAAAGTTGGTGTTCAAGTTTTGCACCGTGTTTTCTTCAAGCTTAAAGGATGATCAGCTGGCACGAATAGTCCGCCATTTCAAAAACTTGACTCAGAGGCTAAAGTTCCGCCGTGTTCGATGGTTTGAGCAGGACTTTGCTTGCTATTTCATCATGGAATGATAATGGTCAAGAGAAATTTGTATCTGATCCAGGTGAGAGATTATACCTGTCTCTTTTTAGGCATGTGAATCTGAAGAATGTTTGACATTCGTCATATTATGAAGAAAACACTGAATATTTTAGAGAAGCCTTATTAGTATATTCCTCTTCCCTCAGAAGAACGTGAAGACTCAAAGTTGATGAACTTTAGAGTGCCTCTATGTTCTTGATTAGTTTATCTGTTGTGCTATTTCATAAGCTACAGAAGCCCCAAGTTCCAGCATTAACCTATTCTGTTGATTTGATTCGTGCAGAGCAATTGTATCGCTCTGACTTTTTTCCAGGTCTAGGTTGGATGCTCACGAAATCCACCTGGGAAGAACTTGCTCCAAAGTGGCCCAATGCATATCCACATCTTTTTCTACTTTCTTGAATACCTCGCTGTTCATCGTTCTTTCGTTTCAGTTTGAATTTGGCTACTTCAGAGAGCCTTTCACACCTTATTTTGAGGAACATCAATTTCACGGCTGATGCTCTTACTGGCATTAACTACTACTTGTGCAGTATGCTATGAGCAATATGTAGCAACCAGGGCTGTGCTCAGTATGATTTATTTGTGCATATCAGCTTCACCTTATAATATCCTTTTGCACCGAAAGCCGTCCTTTGTTGGATCATACGCTGTTCCTTAACCTCTTGTAACACCTACTGGGATGATTGGCTAAGACTGAAGGAGAATAGGAAAGGTCGCCAGGTTATCCGACCTGAAGTTTGCCGGACCTACAATTTTGGAGAGCAGGTAAATGTGTCTACCTCCTACTTTTTCCTGTCTCGTTCTGCTTTCTACAATGACGTGAATTGAGAAAGTGTAGTGGATTTTATTACACTTGAACTTTAGGTCATAACATCAAGTACAGTCCACGCTTTTAAAACCTTGAGTGAGTCTTAATAATTTCCATATTCAAATCTCTTAAGCAATCTGTAAAATTTATTAATACTGTGTGTCAGTGTTTTGCAGTTCTTGTCACCTTGGTTCTTTATTGTGAATGAAATTTGAGGTCGTCTATTGCTTTGTTCATTCCCAATTGATCAACTTAGCACTGTAGAATTTAAAGATTGTCGAATGTGAGCAATCTACATTGCCCTCACCTGAAGAAACTTAACGCAGGTGGTTGTTTCGTTTGAGATTTACAGGGATCAAGCTTAGGGCAGTTCTATGAGCAGTACTTGAAGTCTATCAAATTGAACAATGTGAACGTAAGTAGCCAAAGTCTCTGAGCAAGCGCAGAACTCAGTGAAATGTCTTGCTATGTTATTGGATCGTATAGATTTTCTGATGCTTGGTTTACTGGGTACAGCCAATAGCAAGTTCTCGTGATTGTTTCAGTTTGCTTCACCAGGAATTTAGTCTCCTTACTTCGTCATGAACCTCAAGAGAAACTTTTAACGGATTTTTTTAACATTTGGTATTTCTTTGTTTAAGGACGAGCTCCATAAGCTTACTAGGGGATACTAGGGGATCGAGGTTTGACTCCGGTTGGTCATCTTCTCGGTAAACAGCAATACTCTAATGAGTGATATACTTATCATTTTATGATGCGCAGGTTGATTGGAGGTCGAAGGATTTGAATTACTTGAAAAAGGTACTGCATTGCTAACCTGAAGGCATGAAAAACTTGAGACTAAAATATACTTCATGTTAATCAAAATGGATCTCATTAACTGGTGCAGAGAACCATAAGGTTGGTCTCATATTTGCATTTGGTGCAGGGACAATTCAATCCAATCTTTAATTCACTTGTTTCCAAAGCAGCTATTATACCAGCATCACAGGCACTAACAGAGGCAAATTACGGAGAAGGAGACATTCGGGTCCAATACTATTCCTTGGTGGAGTTCAAATACCTTGCTCATGAGTTCGGTATATTTGAAGATACAAAGGTAGCCTTTCTCCTAACGTGTCCATGTGGGAGCGGCAGATCTTTCGATGCTACGTTTCGTAGCGAGTTCTCGAATTTTTGTTGGCGTTTCTTTGTGCTTGCCTGCTACTATTTCTTTTGCTTTTAAAACAAACCTTAACGTATCTTGTCACTATGGTCACCTGCTTTTAGTTGAGTATGATTTTGAATTCTGCTTTTTGTTAGTCAAAAGGTTTGTTTGCCGAAGATAATTTATGTTAGCTTTCAATTCAACTTAAAAACGTATTTCCTGTTCTGCATGGAACATAAAAACAGCATGGAGTGTTTTTCTTGTATAATAATTGTATTCTGACTCCTGTATTGTTGTGAAGTGCAGGACGGTATACCAAGGACAGCATATAATGGGGTGATAGTTTTTAGATGGAAGGGTCAAAAGCGTGTATTTCTCACCAATTTCTTTCAGCAGTTAGATACCATAGAAACTCTGTAAATGATTAGTATAGATTAAGATCCTGCATGTTCCTTTATGAACCAAAACCATTATTCGAAGCTTACTCAAAGTTGCATGTATGTGTACATATAGTATACCACTGGATGGAACATCTGAATTAAATGGGAACATTTTTTGGTTGAAATCATTTCTACCATGTTGAAGTTTTAATTTTCCATTAATAGTCTTTCACATTAAAATAGTATTCATTTACGTATGAATAAGAATAATGTAAGTAGTTGTATTATGAAAGAAACTATTTCAATGCAATTAGTGGAATGCCTCGACATTTTACATTTAGATTAACATTGTGCGAAATATATTCTCAGTTCAGAGTATTTGTTGAATGAATGACACACTACTTAACAAGTTTGATTGGAATTTCATTTACACAGGTTTGTGGTTTAGCATCCTAATGGTTTACTTTTTAAGTGGTGAAATGTGGACAAAGATATGATCATTGTGCTTGTAGTGTACTGTCATACTCAGTCAGGAAATAGAGAGAAGAAGTGAAAGTATCTGATATTCCAACTTAACCATTCAAAAGAATGTACTTTGCAGGATTACCATACATTTCAGGCACTGGTCAGAGGCATATCATTCATGTTGAAATGCTCAGCTGGCACAGAATTTAGGGTAATGTGTACGTTCTTACTGACTAATGTCCATTGACCATGGACATGAGAAAAAAAATTATGAGGAAATGAGGACCCAAAACAGTCATACCCAAGAGAGGCTTCAGCTATGACATTAGTAACCAAGCAGGTTGGAGGGAGGGGAAAAAATTGTCCAACGACGCGAAATTGAGCGCATCTAACGTACAACTTCTACAGAAAGTCTAAGTCAGTAGGTGATTAAGTTAGTTCTCCGACACAGCACGGATCCCGCCTAAGAGATGAAGCCGTCCAATGATGAAGGTACATGTCCAGCTCCTAAAGATGCAGCACAGATATATCCGTATATACAGACCCTTCAACGACTAGAAAATCAAAACACTCCCTTAAGTGGACAGATCACTTCCACATCTAAAGCACCTTCTTCTCCTTGGCAGGAGCTCTAGGGATTTTCCGCAGAACGGCATCGTCCAACTTCTTGTAATGAATGTTAGCAGCATCAACTGCCTTCGCAGCGTGAAGATCAATGATATCCTCATACTTGTCGTAGACGAAGGGGACAACGTGCAACAATACAACACCTGTTGCGCCGAAACACGGCATTTCACATATGAGCAAGATATAAGAATACTAAGACGACTCCTGGGATTTTTATGCTTTTCACTATGAACTGGCTGCTGAATATCATGCAGGCACCACGCTTTCTGAAATTGAGATCAATGAGAAACTTACCGATCCAGATGCAAGTAAGGAAGTTAAACCACGAGGTGACGGTCGAAACTACCCACAGCAACACCACCATCTGAAAGAGAATGATCCGGAATTTAGCAAAAAATCTCAGAAATGCTGACACAATGGCTAGAATTCCCGAACACATGTGCATTCAAGATCGTATAACGAACGGGAATAAGTGTCAAATGATGAATGACTGTCTACAGCCCAGACGATACCTTGAGGAAGAGCTTGAAGTCCTTGCCCAAGGCAACGTCCCTAGCTATGCTCAGAGCCTTGTTGAGCTCAACGCGGACAGTGCTAGCTGTTCTCAATACGAAGTCTTCGGAAAGAGAAAGTTCAGGGACTGGAGGACCCGCACTGCAAACACACAGACGACCACGGATTACACAAAGGAACTCCTGGGAGACCAATCATTACAAACGAAAGAATAGGTAGCCTCTATTCATGGGTTCGGATCAAGGCCCACCGGTTCAAGAGAGCTGCGACGTTAGCCCAGACGAAGAGGATGATGACCGAGAACATAAGGATGTTGGACAAAAGCGTGAGGAACGTGTATCCTGACTTCTCCAGAAGAAACCACACCAGGGTGGATCCGCCCAAGATGATAGCAGACAGGTTTCTGTCCTTCCACAAGAAAGCATCGGCAGCTGCATGATATCATGTGCAGGGTTCGGATCAGACATTCGCCGGATAAAGCAGTAAATATATATATATATATATATATATATATATACATATATATATACATATTAAACATCTTAGTGAGACTGTCACTGGTAAGGACATCACCCCGAATCCAGTTTGTGTACATGCTATGCAGGTCACCCACGAACTTGCTGAATTTAAAACGAAGTGGCTTACGGATTTATCTACATAGAACGATAGTCTCACATGGATTCAACTGATTCTGTAGAACTGAGAAACCTTCAGAGGTGAGTAATCTCACCTCGACCCCCACCCAGTATTTGGTGCACATTCTTGTCCTTGGTCAAGAAGCGATTTCCCGGCCCATACCCTGATGAGGGCGCCGGTTGCGAAGCGGGCATTTTTCCAACCTGATCAATCACCGAGTCCATCACGGATTCGCTGGAATGGCTAACGTCGCTTTGTTCGGACATGACTGCAGTTCGGATATACTTGCCTCGCTGGTAAGATCTGAACAAACCTAGCAGTCATTATCTCCAAATGTTCAAATTCCTCATTAAACACATGTCAAAGATGAGCGCCATCAACCGGCTGGTCGATTACCAAAATCAGAAATCAAACCAAAGGATAGCCCTGGAAACCATACACCACAAACTCGAAGTTCTTCGGTTCCGGATCGGAAAATACTAGATAGGAAAACGGTCAAGAGAGAAAAGAAAAAAGGAACACAAGCACGTGGCCCAATACTCTTATCCCTACGTCTGACCCTCCCACAAATGCCGCAACTGAAACATGACTCACCGCACGCACAAGAACCCAACAAACCATAGAACTTCCAAACAATAAAAAATATAAACCAAACCAAACTAAACCCAACCCGCACCACGACACCAAAACCCAACAGCCACTTCCTTGGCCATAGCACTAGACACACATATCAACACCAACCAAAACCCAACACTGCACGTGCCCTGTCCTTCAGAGGAGCTGACCTCCAGAACCCAACCTCCTCAGGCCCACAGCATCAGGATGCAAACGAGGAGAAAACGTCGCATCAAGCAGAACAAGCTTACTTGGAAAGAGAGAGAGAGAGAGATACGCGTGGGAGTGGCAGGAGATGCAAGACCCACCAGTGCGAAGTTGGACGGAATTGGCGACGAGGCGGAGCTTGACGGCTGGCGTGCGACTGAAGGAAATGAAAAAGAACCCCACGAAGCGAAACCTACACCCCGAATCAACAGAATGAAGGCGGGTGGCAACTCAGAGCGTTAAATAGAAACCAGCGCCATCGCCAAAGCGTGGGAAGGTAGGCCACAAGGGTTCAGTCCTCTTGGGGCCGAAGGACGTTCGCCTATCACCGCGCAGCCGCCGTCGAGAGGGAGGGCGGGGCGAGAAAGCCCCTCGATCGGTGTCGCTAGACTATGATCGAAGCTCTGACCCGCGTCATCGGCCGTTCCGTCACGGCTCGTTAACGTCTGTCTGCAGCTGGAGCGGTTGGACGCAGCGAAGACTGGAAGAGACAGTGCGCTGAGTTTGAACTTTGAACCCAGTCCCACGTCGCAGCGATTGAGGTGACGCCGGCTTCGGGAAAATATCCCCCTAAATATCGAGAAATACAAAACCGCATAGCCTTTTGTGTGCCGCATGAGATTTACGGCGAGTCGCCGGAATTGGGTTTTAGCGCAACTTGGAGTCGAGCTTGAACTGGACTAAGCTTTCGTCTGTTTTTTCGCGTCAATTTCTCAAAACCCAGTAAGTTATTTTTTGCTAACTCTCGATGTCGTCGTATTAGGCGTTACGACATTGAAAGCTTCGTTTCTCAATGCTGCGTGATGTAGCCGATGAACCCATCGAAACCCAGATGATTCTGTCGGAACTCTATGCCGAGATTCTCGAAGTCCGGGGTCGAGTCTACACTTGGGTCAACTCTTCGGCGTGTTACTGTTACTGAACTTCGCTTTTTCGCTTAGTGGACTGGTGCTCCCCTGTAATCGACTCAACAAATGTTCGAGAATCTGGTGTTTGCTCCGAGGTACGGAATATATTCAATTGTGGGTCTTGTGAACGAATCAACGATGCCGATCACTGACCTCGTAAGCCAAGCAATCGCAATTTAATATCATCCGTGGGGCCTGGAATTAGGTCTTTGAGGTTGCGACTCCAGCCTTGGCGTCTGATTCAACTTCTTCTTCCCTTTCACGCAACATCTGATGCAACGACGTCATTTGTAACTGCGATGAGACCTCCAATTTCGACCCATTCGTCTGCAGCATTCGAGCGAGGGATTTCGATGAGGCGCCATCGTTGACGCTCTTCCTTGCCTTCCCATCTCTCCAGCTTATTTTGGGGTTGAGGAGTTGAACATTATTTTAAACCATGATTTGAAAAGGTTTTGCTCTGCATCAAATACTTTTCTGTTTTGAAAAATCAAAATAGAATTTGAAAAACACAAAGTAATACTTGTGGGCATTTTAGGTCTTGAAAGCAGAGTACTCTGTCCACTCAATTATGCACCTTATTATAGTAACTCGCCTAGAACAATAAACGCACATTTTGTTTACCAAGTACTTGTCCTAATCTGTAATGTTTCATACTGCTCGTAATGTTTGCAATGATACATAATAATTCAAAGCATATGCAAATATTGCCTGTGATAAGCTCAACTACAGGTTTCAAAAATAGTGTATGAAGGTTTATGGATTCAGTGATGTTTAGGGATCTGAGACTTGCATGAATGGATAGTTTGAAAGGAAATACGTCTATTGCTTTCCCCTAAACATTTGTCTCCTTGCCTTTTGTTGTTTACTTGTTCGCTTGTGAAAAGTACTACGAATCATATTTACGAAAATAGGCAGAGAAATGAATCTATCTATATGTATGTATATAAACATTTTCATCGGATTCATTTCATTATTTTTTACATTGTATTGCGTGGAGTTTGATTGATGACAATAAACATTACTCGTAGAAATTATGAACTGGTAACTAATGTTTGACCATTATCAAAAGACCATAGTCTATGGTTGTATACATGAACGACACTACATTTTCGTCGGCGATGAAATCATGATACAGATCGCAAAAAAGTATAATTTAATAGACAACACCGCAGGAAGAAATAAAAACAATAGAGATTTAGGGACATCGATGGCAGGAAGACGACACCACCAGAATCAAAAACTCTGACCAGCCGCCGTCAATTCCAAGGCAGCGCCCCAATTCATTGCCCCGCGCGCGAGCATCGATGGCTCCGCCCCGACCATCGCATTTCGTTTAAAAAAAATTGAATCGCGCTTGGCGATCTTCCCGGGCGCCGGATCACCCACCTCCCGATTCGAAAACGAAGCATCCATTGTCGTCTTGGGTACCATCATCTTCCCCTTATGCGTGGAATCCGTGCAAGCGTGGCGGCCTGTCGCCAGCTTTAGCGCCCTCAGATCCCAATTTCTGATTCAATCTCGCGCCTACTCTTTCCGATTTGGATTTCGTGGCAGTCTCTCGTTTGCATTTTTATTTTGGGGGTTTCCTGAAACAGGGCATCTTCTGCTTATCTCAAGGCGTGATCGATGCCTGGAGCATCCTTAGGGAAGTGGTGGAGAGATGGGTTGATGTTGTAGTGAGAGTTTTCGCATTCGATCGTGAGGTTTAGAGTCTACTTTTCATGACGTGAACATCTCAAGCTGCTGAATCTGCTGCCACACAGGTGGTGGCACTGTTACTCACGGGCCTCGACATGCTTAGCTCTGCCTGGAATCTCTTTTAACTGAGTTCTGTGCTTGAAAGCTTAAGTTGCATTTGTGTGTTGCATCTTGGAGTGTAATGTTTACTCGCAGTGATGAGCGCGTCTGAATTGTTTTGTGAGGACTCATGAGTCAACGTAGCACGGATGGGATACTTTTGAGCACTGCTAAGGTGTTATTTCATTCAAGGGCAGTGATAGTTCGTGTTTTGTCAGGTAGCGAAAATTGCACATTCACTGCTCCGACATGACAAACCTGGATTTCGCTAATGTGCAGGTTGGGGTTGTGATGAGCATGTTTTGTTTGTTTAGAAGAACAATGTTCGCAGAAATGACTGGCATGTTACTCTGTTTAGGTTCTCACTATTTTATTGACTAACTGCTAACTATCAATATTGAGCCTCGAGTATAGATTTAAGGGCATATCCAGCTGGGAGGACCTAATGGCTTTGGCGTTTGCTTTGCCCGCCGGAAACTTCGCTGAACAGCAACCAGCGATTTCACACATGTACGTTATGTTACATGGATAATTTTGGCAAGAAATACAGTTTGACTTGAGGTTTGTTGGCAAACCTCTGCTTATCACCGGGCATCAAAGTGTACAGGATCACTCCACCATGTCGTCAACTCAAAGATGCCGCGAGCGGCCACGACACATCCTTCTGGACTTGAAGGCCAAAATTTGGTATCAATTTCAAGTATTCGTGCTACCGAAAGTGTAGGACATTTTTTGAATGTGATGCGAGTTCCTGAATGTTACGCCTGCAGCTTGTGATATGAAATGACTGGGTGGTTAAGTTACTTTTCAGCATAACATAAACATGGAACATCCTAGTCTCCGACACAGACATTCTGCAAGGGACTTTGTACTTTCTAGAATGCTTTTTTACATCTCCCTTCGATCACTTCAACCCAGCGCAATTTTCTCAGTTGGCAATTCTGCAGTTCTGAGGTGTTTGTCGGCACAATTTTACGAATTGTTGGTTCAGGATGTAAGAGAATTTCATCCCTATACAATCTTCTCGCAGTCGAGGACGCAAGAGATGACCTGAACTCAAATTCCAAATGTGACTAATCCCTCTGGCTGGCACAATTTTGTACACAAGTTCGAGTGCAACTCAGGGATTGTTTTCATTTAGAATACGCGAAGTTATTGAGTAACCCTCTTCAAAACTCCTGAAACTGAGGAGCCCCGCACATCAATTTACAAGTTACTCTACAATTCGTACTCATGCATCTCATGTGGTCGCTTCATCCTCTGGCAGGATCCTGCTCTTCGGAGCTGTTTCTTCATTATATTCATGCAGGCAAGCGATCGGACGGAAACCCTCGCTTTGTCAACTCGATGATTGCTTGGAATTCGACAGGGAATGCTGAAAGAATGTAAGCTCATTTGCGGGTTCAGAGGAAGGTCAGGTTTTCGAATCCTAAGAATTGTTTTTCGAAATGTAAATGTGAACATTCTAGGGATCTGTTAGAATTATTCTCCAGAGCCACGTTCACTGAGAGTAGGTGGTGCTTCACTGTGACCCTGAGCACCTTGGGAATGGATAAACTGTTGGGACGGTTACAAAAGTACAAATCCTGCCTCAGACGACGTCGATGGTTAGAGAAGAATTCCGAATATCTGACAAGTTCTGAGCTTGACGTCACAATCTATTCCAGGAAAGGGAGGCTGCAGACAACTGCGGAATTCTTAGAATGCAATGCATCCATATCTTCTGAGTGGAAGAGCAAGTGAAACTGATAAGACGAGAGGAATCTGCGTGCATCTAAATTGCTTCAGAATTTGTGGCAACGCACTAGAAGTGGATCTTCTGGTTTATATTTATTTAAAGCTAGCCACACATATCTTATAGTATCACAAGTTCTCTGTCCTTCGTACACGATTTCTAAGTTGTTTACTGGTCCTTGCGGAGTGAACAGAGTTGAATTGTTTTGAGCCAAGAGTATTGTGAGGACACAATTGTCGTAGGTGGCCGCATGATGTGTCGCCAACTTTGGAGGGATTTCAACAAACCAGGGCTTGCTAACAATAATTCCAGCACAAAGTTGGTGGGTCCTACTAGTAATATTTCAGCTGTGTGGGTTGAGCGGTCCATCTCTTTCGACGTGGCGTAACTTCAGGCGGTTTCTCCAACTCCGTCGTTCTACTTTCACCAACTCGCCAACTCCTAGAAAAGTTTAATTCACGATTCTATCTGTTATATCGAAAATGCAACTCTAAGATCGCCTTGTGCGCTTGACAATCTAATGCTGAAATACTGCTTCAGCACGTATCTTTATTATCATGATTGACAGGAACTCCACCGTGTAACTTGAAAAATTATATTTCCACCTTAACCCTATTGTGCAAGTCTTCACTCCATATCTTTAGTTAAAACATTTCTATTCTCACAGTTGATGCTACGACAGTTACTCTTCTAATAGACAAACTTAATGAAACCCATAGTCGTCGCCCCAATATGAATCCACCTCTCAACTGTATACTTAGTCTATTTCAAAAATACCTAGTCCGCGAATACCAATGACCGTCCAAGGGGAGAGGAAATTCCAGAAGTCCGGATTCTCAAAAAGTAATCATCCAACAAAGGCGGTGAAGGACAGGGGTTGTGTGTGGCAGCCTGGACTCCTTATATCCCTTCTCCTGCACCTCTTATCCCTCTCACCCTCGGCTCTCCAGTCCCAGTTCTCGGAGTCTTCAACAGTACCAAGGACCGGCGTGCTCGTTCACTCTGTCTGGTTGGTCCCCGCATTTCTCCATTTGCACATCTTGTGTTGGGCTCTTTGAGCAATTTTCCCGTCAGGTTGGTGAACATGTCTTCAGTCACGGGCCTTTGTCAATTTAGGAAGGGAGCCGACGGTCGGCGGGGTTCGCTGTAAGCATAGTTGGGGTTCTTCACTTGGCTCTTGGGGGAAGCGGAGTGTGTCATTTTGGATAGCTTTGGTATAATGCTTTCTCAAAATGGCGACGAGGGGGTCGTGAGAGTTGGACCACCGGTGGTCCCTGTCTATGGGACTGGAGTTCTCGTTGTTGGCAAATGGGTCTGCGGTGGTTGGTTGGAATGTTAGTATTGGTTATAGTTGTTGAGTCGCTGAAATTGGTTATTACTCTTGTGTCCATCTTCCCTTACACTTTCGGTCTTTATGTAGCTTGGCTGCGCGTGAGGGCTGGCAACCATGGCAGCTGCATCTTTGGAGTGTGTCTTGAGCCTCCGACCCAGCTTCTCGGCGGTTGTTTCGCAGAAGGTACGAAGTTGTTCCTTTGTTTTCCTACTTCAAATGCTGGTATTCATGTTTGCCCTCTCTCTAAGTAGAGGTTGCGCGAATGTCTGCATAAATTTTACTGGGTATGCTTGTAGCTACCCATAGCTTATTGCACTGAAATTGACAGTATAAGTAGTAGGACCGTAGTCTTTGAATGTGCGGCGAACATTAAGCTAGTTTCAACAGTGAGGAACATCTCATAGGTATCGCATTGTAGTGCATCGTATAATGCTAAAAGAGCATGGTCCGAACAGTTGTCGTATTCTTCGGCATTGAGCTATGCTGACATTGGACATTGGCCAGCAGAAATGTGCGGTCACCAGACAATCTGCAATTCTGTGTCTTCCGGCAGGTGAGACACTCGAGCCAGTTGTTCTTACATCTCTCCCGCACCTATACTGAATGATATCGGATGTTGGTGGTGCTTTGCTTAATGTTGTTGTTTGTGCGTCATCCTTTTGTAGTTTGTGGAAACGTCCTTAGAATGAAAATGTAGATGTCCTTCCAGAATGGATGGTCAATGAATATGATCAGTCGTTACATGTATACAATAACAGTCACTCTTCGAGGTGGTTGACTCTCGAAGGGGATGGTGAGGTGGTAATTGGTTGGTGACATTGTTTGTCTGTGTGGTCAACAGCTAGCAGGTCTTTGAAAGGACTCGGTGCTGGATTTAAGGTGGGTTATATTTGACTATCAGGTCCTTGTTTCTACCTGTAACTGACAGGTGATTGCAGAACATTCTGCAGTCACTCATGTGTGTAAGTGTAGGTACTGGTACTTGTGGCCTCATTGAAGTCAAAATGAAATCGATGCGTTCTATTCTCTGTTGAATATCTTCTGTGAACTGTAAAATTCGTCAGTTCTGTGTTTTTTAAGTAACATCGGGTGGTATGTTTGTCACACTTTGTGAAATGTGGACACCACAATCATCTGTTGCTGATATGCACAATTTCATCAATTAACAGTTGGAAATCTCGAGAGCGAGGAAGGTGACATTGTCAGGCAAAGCCGGCAGGGGTCCAATCTCCGCAGTTGCGGCCCCTATCGCACCCCCGTCATCCCCACTTGAAGATGCTGGGGAAAGGCAACGCTTGGCTGAAGAGTATGGATTCACCCAAATTGGGGAGCCAGTGCCTGCAGACGTGACATTGAAGAAAGTGATCGATTCCTTCCCATCGGAGGTGAGTTTCCTTAGGTTGGGGGGAAGCGCTACAATTCACATTGAACTTGCCGATCTTTGTACCCACTGTTAATCCCAGCTACTGTTGTACAAAGCTATACAGGTAACGAGGGTGAAGTAAAATGGATGTAACGGTGTGGTTGGTGATAATTTAGTTTCTTATGGAATCCTCCGCACTGTGGCTCAGGTCTTTGAGATCAACGACTTGAAAGCGTGGAAGACGATTGCCATCTCCGTGGCCTCCTACTCCCTTGGCCTCTTCATGATTGCGAAGGCACCATGGTACCTGCTCCCATTGGCTTGGGCTTGGACCGGCACTGCCATCACAGGGGTGTGTTCCGATGACAACATTGTCTCTCCTTAGGCCTCAAATATACTTGTTCAGAGTAGTGGATACAACTTGTCTTTGGTGTTTGTATGATGATAATGGGATAGTCTAGTGTGTACTTGTTGGGACAACATTAGGGCCCTTACGGAAACTATGTGGTTCAGTTCTTCGTGATAGGTCATGATTGTGCGCACAAGTCGTTTTCGAAGAACAAATTGGTAGAAGACATCATCGGAACTATTGCATTCCTCCCACTCATCTACCCATATGAGCCGTGGAGATTCAAGCACGATAAGCACCATGCCAAAACTAACATGTAAGTACTTGCACCAATTCCTGCTTTTCATGCTGCAGAAATGGTTATATATCGAATAGCACCGAAGTGTGGCATTGGATATTTTCGTTATTACTCAATCACACTTTTTACGTTTGATTTAGCTAGAAATAGACTTAGCATATGAAAATGACTTGGTCTTCGGCTTCCTCTTTGGAGCGAAAATTCATGGGATAAGCAGAGGGGTGAACAATCTCATTCACATGGATAACTTCTATGCGATTCGATAATAATATGTGAATTTGCAGGTTAGTGGAGGATACCGCATGGCATCCAGTGATGAAAGAACAGTTCCAAAACTTTTCACCAGCTACGAAAACTCTTATGGAGCTCGGCATGGGTCCTTTGAGACCATGGGCTTCTATTGGTCACTGGTGAGATTTTTTAATTGTTAGATGGTCAACTGTTTAGTTAATATGTATGAAATATTGAAGATGTATTTCTTTGCAAAGTGAAGTTGGCTGATGAGTGAAAAGGTGCAAGTACTACGACCGTTTCTTATCAGTTTTAATTCCTGCTGGTTTTTGTCTAAGTTCGGACGATAACATAGTTTTTTATGGTTCCTTCTTTTCAGGCTGCTGTGGCACTTCGACCTGAGCAAATACAGAGAAAGCGAGAAACCTAGAGTGAAGATCAGCCTGGCTGCAGTGTTTGCTTTCATGGCAATTGGGTGGCCTGCCATCATCTATACCACCGGCATTGCTGGATGGTTGAAATTCTGGCTCATGCCCTGGCTCGGGTATCACTTTTGGGTACGGAATTCCCTAGTGTCTACCATTCATTGCCAATGTACGTTGCATGAATTCCCGGGTTGTAGTTTTGCGTGATCCTAGTCTTACGCAAATCTCTCAATATGATGTATTTTCTTGGATTTTGCGCAGATGAGCACTTTCACCATGGTGCATCACACTGCTCCTCACATTCCATTTAAGAACAAGGAAGACTGGAATTCCGCTGCTGCTCAATTGGGTGGAACAGTACATTGTGACTATCCAAAATGGTTTGTCAGTAGCCCTTTTCTCGTGTGAACTTAGTTTGTTGGGTTGTGTGATTTCGTGACGTGGAGTCAGAAGACATGAATGAAAACCTTCTGAGGAGTGCTCTTCTTATTCATAGCAAATGTTTTACACATATGGTTTTGATTTATGATTTTTCAGTTTCTAGTCCCACGAAGGTCCTGGGATCACTCTCATTTATTGTTTCATACAGGGTTGAAGTACTTTGCCATGACATCAGTGTTCACATTCCCCACCACATTTCACAGAAGATACCCAGCTACAACCTTCGATTGGCTCATGAGTCTCTTGTTGAGAACTGGGGAAAGGTATGTCCTCAGTACTCTTATAACAGGGCATCTTTGAATTGAGGAAGTACTGCACATTCTCTTATTTTTCTACAGGATTATCAATATTTCTGGATCAGCTTTTTTCTTGGTGAATGCTTATGTGGCTGAATTTGTTTTGCAGCACTTGAACATTGCCAAATTCAACTGGAGATTGATGAAAGTGATCATGACGGAATGCCACTATTACGACCCGGAAAAGAACTACACCTCATTTGACAATGGTGAAGATAAGTCACCCGTCATCGGCACTTTGAGGAAGGTTATGCCCGATATGGCGTAATGATTTTGCCGAACAATTCTGTAACTATTTGCAACAATTTGTTCCTTGGCACTTAATTCATGTGCCTTGAGTGTAGAATACTCTCGGGCTGTAACGCAGGGTATAGCTGCGAAGTAGATGAATTTGGTTGTTGGAAAATCTTGGTGAGCGAAAGCATGTTTTTTGCCACTGACACCACACATAGGAATCGATTCCTTTACGCCAGTAAAATGCTGGGCATGGCGCAACAATAGTACCAGTGTTTTCTATCGCTGGGGGTTGTGATAGGAGGATTATCCGCAGGAACATTACTGACTTGTACGACGTGGGCTGTTAAGGACTCTTCGTAATAATACAAGACACTCTGAGCAGCTTTGAATGTACCATTTCTAAGTAAACATTGCCTAATTTGTGAGCATGATCTATTTGTTTATGCTTGTACTTCGTAGTGTCGTGAAGATGGATAGAAAGTATCTTCTCTTGAAGAAACTATTCGTAGATTTCCTCTATATGGGTATAGACTAAGAAGTGTTTACAGTAGAGTCACATGATCAGTGCGTCAGAAAATTGATGGTAAGGGTATCACACGAGCATATAGTGGATAGAAACTCTGGTATGCTCCTGAACCAATCTGTTTTTATTAGCGATAGCCACCACTTAGACTTGATTCACAATCTATCCAATGAAATGATCTGTAAATGAATACTGGTGATTAATTTTTTTGATTTGAAATGGAATAATGGGTGATGCTCTGATGCAGATATTGTCAAACCTCGATCGAAGCGTGGCAACAACATGACAATCCCTCTCTAAACGATCAGCACAACTTACTCCTAATCAGTGGAGAAAGTTTTGCATGATAGTCATTGGTTGAGACGTGGACATTTATGCACGAATCTGATCATTTTTGCATGCACAGAACGAAATATCTCAGCTGAATTTTCATGCTCTTTCTTCCTCCTCGTCTTTCGTGCATCTATACAGTAATTGTTTAATTTTCTTCCTCTGTAACTATTTCGTCACAGTGAATTTCGTGTCTATTGAATGTTGTATACTGGCAAGTACCATGTATTTTAACTTGAAACAGTCATACAAAGCTTTGGAGACCAACCTTGCCATGTATGCAACCAATTGATCTGTTTTTATCATTTTTGTTCAACTTTTTTATTCTTTCGTTTATTTTTGCACAAACCATTAACCCTTGGATGATAGTAATAAAAATGAATAAATATTTTCAAACACAACTTTTAAAATATTCAGTAGTTTCATTGATAAGCGTATTCATTGAGTAGTTTCAAAGGATAACGACAATAATGCACAAAGTAATTTAGATCAAGAAATCATACCCTTAACATGAAACTAGGCTAATAAATGTAGTATCTGCAATGATTGTTTGAACTATAATATTGATCCTAATGCACTTTAAAAACAATATAACAATAGAAGTGCTTCGTTAATTAAGTTAATGCTCTTATTTTAATACTCAACTCTATGAATTTATAACCATGGTTGTTATATTTGTTTATTGTGATTCAAAAACCTTGAACCCAACCTTTTCCAAAAAAAAAAAACTAAACTAAACTAAACTAAAAGACTTAAAAAAACACTGAAATATTTTAAGAAAATATATGCGTATATATATATATATAGATGAACCGCTCATCCCTAGCCCATCGAATCTTGAGGGTAGAAGAATATTAATCTTGTCCCCCCACATGTCATTATGCTGAGAACAACCTCAACAGCGACGTTCCCATGGACCGCGTTCCCAATGACCCGGGAACCATAATCCGCCCCAGGAACATGACCCTTCACGATGTAACGCCCCGAGGAGGAGGCCTTCCACTTTACTGCCCCGCGCTAACCTCCACTCTGTCAAGATCACCCAGATCTCGCTGGCAACCCCATTCACACCTATACCACTTAATCACCCCACTCAGGTCACCTTATGTTACGTAACATCAGCCATAAATGTAGATGTGTCCTCGTCTTCACTCACAACGGCTTCTCTTCCTCCACTGATGATTGAATCCACCACATGCTTTCTAGGAATAATTTGATATATTTGTAGATGTAGGTGGAATTGGGAATAATGGAGATTTTAGGGCGGGGTTGACGGCGGTCTGCATTACCGGTATGACCACGTGAGTCTGCAGCCGGCTCCTCTGCTCGTTCCACGGATTCGTGTTTGCATGCTGTTGTGTTGCTGCAGATTGCCGAGAGTAGCACTGGGAGATCACTCGGCGTGGAGCTCGGAAGGCTCCCCAATCGAGCAGTGCAAAAGCGCTGCTTCTTCTGCGGCTGTGGTGGATTCCATGCGGTCTTTAATTTCTCGCCTTCGTCTTCTTCTCGCAGGGCGTCGTTTAACTGCTGGTTGAGAGGGCATTTTCTTCCTTGCTCACAGCTGTTAAATCACAGCATTGCGTGGTTGTGGAATGGAGTTATCGTAGAGGAGGAGGGAGGATTTTGGAAGAGCGGGAGTCCGCGCGCGTTGAAGGCTTTTTCGTTTCCGTGTGAGTTATCTGCTTGCACAGGGAGTTTTTGGTTTTTTTCAGCGATGTTGTATTCTCGCTCCTGTTGATCAATTTCATCTTGAAATGCTTCTTAGTGAGGCTGTTAAGGATTAGTTTCAAGGAAGAAAAAAAAGGTGGAACGTTGAGAAGGTTTAGTTGTATTCGTGAGAATGTTTTGGTTGTATCCTCTTCGACGTCGCGAAAATAGTCTTCTCTCGAGCTGGATAATGAGGTCAGTGATCAGATTTCGAAGTGGTTCCGTATCATCTGTGGAGTAGGATACAGACTGATTGCTCATTTTGAGAGGTTTGGGAGGATTATGCGAGAGTCGAGTCATGTTGATGGAGATTCCTGATTTTGGCCGTGTTGTAAGAAGTTCATTGCTGGCCATTCCGCTAGGAATTAACGTGGATCAACTCTTTCAGTGGACGGTTCAACATAGGACGAATTCTCTACTCCGAGATTTCGGTTCGGTGCACTGCGATTCTCAAGCTACCTCGATTTGTGAGGACATGAAAACGATGTAACTTTGGCTTCTTGTGAGTTACGCGAATTCGCACTGAAATTTCTTCTCCTCATTATCACGAGCTATGATAGTTTATACGGCTCATCGATTTAGTGAGTGTTTCCCCCATCACCTTGTCGGCCATTCACGTTTCCGTCGCAAGATAGAGAAAGAAAGGTCACTTTTCCAAATTGGATGTAAGTGAAATCGTCTTCGCTATTCGGTCTTCAACTCTTATTATTCTACTGTGATGCATTTGGTCAACCCATACGATCGGAGTTAGCTGTTTCACATAACAAGAATACGTCATGAGGGAATTACATTGGACCTTCATGAAAAATTTCACTGATACGATTCCATCAATCCCGCCCCGTTTCTCTTTCGAGTCACTTGCGTAGGTGGAGCTATAGCTTCATTATAATGCCAGTATTGGCCAGAGATGGGAGTAAAGAGTCAGCCTCTCCCATGTCCTCATTCTATTTGTGGCGTTGCTCAGTCAGTACGGGTGCACTGCACGTCTTCATCACTGCACGGTGTTCTTTGCTTTGCCCTTTTAACATGCAATTGTGAAGTCTTCATCTAACATCAGAATACATTGTTGAACACTACTGCCTGTGATGAGCTTAAAACGACTTTGGATAAGCGTTACTTTGTCTTTGAAAACAACGAAAACATTGAGCACGAGTTATTCAAATCCACCAATTTAGATGATTTAAAGTTTAAATCCTACTAAGAAGTCCAATGTCATCCTCCTGCTTTGTTCGTTTCATCTTTTTCAGTTTCAATTTCAACATCGCATTTGAGGGTTTTGATCTGAATGATGCAATTTCTTAGACTATTTCAATCTGATCTCTGGTGTTGTAAGTTAAACGGTAGCATAAGGTTGAGGAAGATCACGGCCATAGTATTTTTCACAGGCTACTTTCCTGAGGTTTCATTTCTGTATCTGATTGTCAGAATGAGCGTCATGTTACAACGAATCTTGATCCTAAAACAAGATTAACATCATTTGAATTTTTATATGTTTTGCAGTTCTTTCGCAAGACGAAAAAATAACTTCCTTCCCACGATACTTGATGCATGAGTATGCTGGAGGACGTTGAGGAAAACTAAGTCTGAGGTCTCATGCACCTCTTGGAGCACGTTGGACAGTTGTACCTAGACTGGATTTTTATTGGCCATGAACCAACTCATTGTCGAGTGATGACGCTCTGCAGTTCCACAAACAGTGGTGAGAAAAGCTCTGGTGAAGAACATTTGAGCTTGTGAGGAGATAAATTCAGGAAGGTGAACAGAAGCGCTCGTCGGAATGAAAGGATCCGCGTTCAAGTTCTTCCCTGTCACAGCTACTTTTTTGATAAGCTTCTCATTGTTAGCAGGTAACTCTTTGGTTTAGATTTTGTGAAAGCCGTTTCAAAGAATCTTAAATTCAACGAAAATGCCCCTTAACCAATGCGTATTGTTCGAAGCCCAAAGATTCGTTTTATAATGACGTTATTGCATTATGTGAACAGAGAGTTACGATCCTTTGGACCCCAATGGGAATATCACCGTCAAATGGGACATTAATTCGTGGACCCCGGAGGGTTACGTAGTGAGTTTCTTCTTTGCATCACTCTGTTGATTTTCTCTGAAGCATGAAGTTCACAGTTTTCATGCACATTACCTTTCCAACACCACTAGCCGCACAATCTTAGAAATGCTGTATCCTCTCGATAACATGCGGGTGCTCTACCAATTTCTAGGTCGTGCAACGATTGGGTTGCAGTTTAACTTCGCGTTACGAAAAATATTAGCTCCAATTATGACAGCTAGTACTGTTCGAGTGCTTCGTTGCATCTGAAGAGATTGCTGGATAAGATGGAACTAATCCACTGTTGCTGCTAGTGTGGTCACAGGCAATTGTCACCATTTTCAATTGGCAGCAGTACAGGCACATATCTTCGCCTGGGTGGATCTTGGGGTGGGAGTGGGCTAAAAAGGAGGTGATATGGAACATGGTTGGAGCACAAGCCACGTCACAAGGAGACTGTTCTGCATATCATAGCGATCCTATTCCCCACTGTTGTGCCCCTAATCCTAGTGTTGTCGATCTGCTTCCGGGAGTGCCCTACAACCAGCAAGTATCAAATTGTTGTAGAGGTGGGGTTATCTCATCTTATGCTCAAGATCCAGAGACTGCATTATCAGCGTTCCAGATTACAGTGGGGAATGCTGGGACATCAAATACTACTGTGGCATTGCCAGTCAACTTTACTTTGAACACGCCTGGGCCTGGGTATTCTTGTGGACCTGCAACTAAAGTCCCCCCTAGCCAGTTCCATTCAACAGACAATAGAAGGGTCACCCAAGCTTTCAGTAAGTAGACTTTCTTGACTCCTTTTTTGGGCTGTTTACCATCAATTTTCTTGAATCATGAGGATTTGTGGAATAAAGTAGGGTTGAAGTACTTTTAATTTGAAGATGTGTAAATACTGGATACTTTGTTCAGACGTGTTACAGGGTCGATAATCATAATCATGACATGGTTAATTGATGCTCTGCTACCAGTTGATACCCTGGCTTCGCCTGAACTCCATTAATCACAGTCTTGTGATATAAATTAACGAAGAAAACTCCATTCAATAACGCTTGATCTTAAAAGAATGATGAAATGAGGGATTGAATTCTTCGACCACAAGAACCGAAAACCAGGACAACAAAGGAAGGGTAATCCTTCACTCCAACGTTCAGTTGTCAACTTTAGGGGCATTACACGTGGATCTGTCAATTTACTCTCATCAGATTGCATAATATCTGACGCTTTGGAATTGGTTTTTTGCAGTGACATGGAACATAACATGCACTTACTTACAAAATTTGGCTCAGCGAGCGCCGACTTGTTGTGTTTCTTTTTCAACATTTTACAGCCCAACGATTACGCCTTGTGCCGAGTGCTCATGTGCTTGCGCATCAAATTCCACACTCGCTGCTTTGAGAGGAGCAGCAGAATCCACAAATTCGTGCATCGATCCGTAAGATCGCTTATAACACCATTTTTAGAATTCCAATGCAGATTGGATTCGATGATACGACCTGTCCTTTTATATCATAAATTTCGATGTTACCAGAAGATCATGAGAGCTCAAATTCTTAACATATAGATATGCATGCAGGAATACACGGTACGATGAGCTTCCAGCAATAACCACAAGGGGCGGCTCTTCAGCCAGTCATCCCGACCTTTTGTATTGCACTAGAGACATGTGTCCAGTCAAGATCCATTGGCATATCAAAACTAATTACAAAGAGTATTGGCGAGTTAAGGTTACGATCACCAACCGCGATTTTTCTCGGAATTTCACGCAGTGGACCTTAACTCTTCAGCACCCTAATTTTGACAACTTTACAGACGCCTTCAGCTTCAACCACAGGGGATTGAACCCTTATGGCACATTCAGCAGTAAGTCCCGAACACGATTTCATAAATCTGGTCACGTATTCAGTCAGATTCTAGAAGTTTAATGACCTGCAGAGTCTGACAGTCGTGGAGGTATATTGATCTGTGCAGTGTCGTAGACTTCGTGGGAGATTCCATACAGTGTTAAGCGTATGTAACCTAATGAAAAATTATAAATCTTATTGCTCATGAGTTATGGTCAGAGTATGTTGGTATGTTTATCAGCCGAAGTCCACAACGTACATTATTTTGGTCCACCACTGATGTGAATTTAATCTGCTGCTTGTAGATGACACGGCTGTGTTTTGGGGTGTAAAGTATTTCAACGACATTCTGATGCAAGCTGGTCCTTCTGGAAATGTTCAGTCGGAGCTCTTGTTCGCCAAAGGAAAGGATTTCAAATTTAGCCATGGGTGGGCATTTCCACATCGTGTCTACTTCAATGGGGATGACTGCGTCCTGCCCGAACCACAAAACTATCCAGCTTTACCGAGTAACAGCCCACGAGTTCCATCAAGTTTTCTCTCTTTAGTTTTCATAGTAATTGGATTGTCATTGATAGAATTCGTATTTTAGAAAATATTACTGTGTTCACAAGACACGAAGATGAAATAACTACAGAAAGTACTTGTAAATCTCCAGCAGGATGAGAGATTTTCAATTCACCAAGAGCATGAAGGTTCCATATTTAGCATGATACTTTTTCTTTTCTGTAGATATATCGGTGCAGAATATTAATGAGGGTTTCTAAATGAACTGTTTAGATGAGATCTAACACCGCAGCAGGAATTATTGAAAGGGGTTATGGATTTTGTAAACGTTTATACTAGTTTGTGAATGGGAATGTGGTTATGAAGTCATTTTATTTGTTGTCTCCTAACTAGAGGCACAAATAAGGAGAACTGCGACAAAACTTGGCTGAGATAACTTAAACAATATGTTCTATTAGTCCTCAAAATCGTGAAAAAAATTAGAAACACTCTGAACAGTGCGCTTGTACACTGTGAGCTCGTATTTGGGCCGAACCGAGTGCGGGTGAAAGCATACGAGATCGTGAGTCTCTCCTCTGCACTCTCGTTTACATGTCCTAGCTGCATTGCTAGAAGAATCTGCACGAGCGAGCGCAATATTGTGCGCTGGCGTCTACTACATAGCTAGAATATTACAAGTGGACCAGGAGCGGGTGGTGGGATTTCCAGCGAGCGGCCTAAAACCACCTCGGCGACCTAGCTTGAACAGACCACCACAGTAAGCATTTGTGCTTAATCATTTAGTGAGTTAAAATGCGGCAATGCTGGAAGGGACCTGTGGAGAATTAAATCTAGTAGGTAGCGACGCCCTCGAACGTTTGACCCCAGCCCCAGTTGGAGGGCGCGGCGTTCAGAGACTCGGCCACGCTGCCGTCACTCAGGGTAGCTCTGAAGGAGAGTGCCTTCCCAGGCAGATTTGGGTCCGAGGTCATCTGCCACATCTGTCCCCAGTTGCGGACGCAAGGGTACCACGGGGTGTCGCTGCCCCTGATCTGAAGTTGCTGCACATCTCCTGCACCACCGCAATTGGTGACTAGTATCATCACGAACCATGGGTTGCCGTTAATTGTGAACCTCATGCCGCCTTTCTTTGCGCAAGGAGCTCTGAAGAAGCACAGGCAGCGAAAAAGAGAGTGAGCGGTGACGTATCAATTGGGCGACTCACGATGTAGTATTGATGCAATTCAAAGAACGCGTGTGAAGAAGGAGAGTAGATTGAATGACTGACCTCCGATACGTGACGGGAATGACACCCCCAACCTCTTGAGCAAGGCTGGTGAACATGGGGTGCGAGAGGTCGAAGTGCTGCTTCGGGGAATCGCACCACCCGCCATCTGAGCCCTGAGGACAGTAGTTCGTTGCTGTAACTGTGATGGACTTGTCCCCTGGAAGACAGTACTTGGAGTTGGCGCTGTCGCACTTGAGTTCGAAGCAGGCTCCGCAGCTAAGGCCCGCATTAAACAAAGCACTACTGAGTGCGGTGGTACTGGTGCCATATCCGGTTGAGTAGAGGTTTCCGTAACCGCAAGCTCCACCTGCACATACCCATTGAGAACTGCTATGTCAAACATGCTCAGGCGTCTTCAAGAACATGGACCTGTGGACACCTTCAGTAATTCATCTATCGATGTATCTATCAACGCATCCATCCAATCCTCGACATTGCCGAGCTAGAAAACTTCCCAGTTCAAAGACCCCGCTACCCTCTAGAGGAGCTGCATTAGATTCACACCTTGAGTTCCCTGTGCGTCCACGCCACCGTAGAACGTCGCATGAGCAACGCCGCTGATCCAGTCGCTGCCAGCATACCCAGACTGCACCGAAGTCACCAACGCTAGAGCCGATACGAGCAAGAGCGCAACATGGGTAGCCATCGCCATCGCTCCCCGAGCTTCAGTTGGCTGCGCAGCTGCGACTGAAATTCGGAGAAGGTGGACGGATGGGGATCAGACGCCGAATGATGCAGGTTCTGCTGACAACGGTGTCATATTTATAAGTCCCCAAATCGTGAGCACCAAATCAGGAAGTGTCTGGTGATTCACATCTCGCAATTGTCCTTTGTCAATGAATAGCGTCAATTTCTCGTCAGCGGCTGCCTCTACTTTTCCCAGGATATATTCAGTTTCCGAACTTGTCATCTCCAAATGAAGTAAATGACTATAAATTCGTCCACATTCGGCTCCGGTTTGCTGAACAAGGATAGCTAGCCTTTTTTGTATCCTTTTTTTCCTTTTAATGAAAATTGAAACCCTCTAGCGTGGAACGAGTTTTGCCGCTTCTCCATTTCTGTTCGAATTATTTTGAATAGTTCAGTATTTTTAAGCATCGATTCTCTTTTTAAAAGAATGAGTCACAGCTACATTTGGATGCGAAGCAGCAATGGCGATGACATCATATACCAATTTCATGCGTTAAACCCCAAACTGTCAAGAGCCTTCCAGATCAATCCCAGCCCGCTGATCTCAATTTTCCGCTGCTGATCCATTTCGTATTAATTCGGCAGCGCCGAGTCAATAACTACACGAGATTTGACTTCCGTCTATATTCCATGTTAAGCGTACAGCCAGAAAGGCAACAACGTTTCCACGTCGGGAAGTCTGAATCCACAAACCACCTCTGCGATGATGGATATTGAATGCCAGACCTTTAGAAATATCCCACGTGGAGCCCAGTATTTCTATTTTGTAACGTGCGGCGACAACGATCGGAAATAGAGTTCATCATTGCCGACAATTGCGAGATTTCTGATGACAGAAGTAGGTGGGGGGGGGGTGGTGTATACCGCCCAAAAGGCAATTTGTTTCGATGCTGGCGGCGCGGTTTTAGCTGACAGATTCGAAGCGGCGCTTGGCTCACAACAATTCGGAGCGCGTTGCAAAATTGGGCCGAGAATTTTGGTCCACTTCGACCTCGCTGCCGCTTCTGCACCGTTGCGATCGCCCGCAAGTTGCTGCAGTGCAAGTAGATTGGCTCGTAGCTTCATCATCACAGACTGAGAGTGTGCGATGGGGTTCTGTTTCACCTGCCTCATGTCCCTCATCTGTTGCGAAACCTCCGTTCGTGCTCTGATTTTCGCAAGGTCCAGGGTTTTTGCGGAGCCGAGAACGAGTGCATGCTGGGCACCTGTGCACCGCGTTGTTGCCCATCGACTGCAGGGACGTGAAGCTGATCCCTCGCAGCCGTCAGAATAATCGCGACAAAACCCCGAACCCTAAGTACCTGAAGTTGGTGGAAGTCGTCGCGAGACCGCTGATTATCACGAGGCCTTTCTGATCGCTAGTCAATTTCTTCACTGCTGCCAATTCAAGCTCGAGAAATCAAAGCGATTCGAGATGGAATGGTGTTCCTGAAACCCTAATTCCTCAAAATCCTAAAACCCAACTCCCTATAAGCTTCACTAGACTACAGTTTTCATGCACCTCATCTTCTTTCTCTAGTATTCCTCGACCGAATGTCTTGGGTTTTGGGATTAAGAAGTAGGGAGATCTATACATTTATTGGGTTTCATAATTGTGGAGGTAAAAATTCTATAATTTGAAGCTTGCTTAGTCTTGAAATTGTTTGGCTTAAGTTAAGAATAATGCATTTTGATGGTTTTATTGATTTATTTCTACTTATTGTCCTTTATTTGAATAGAATAGATGTAATTTTATATTAATTATTTCTCCTCTTTTTGAAACAATGAATGAAGTTTATGGTCCATAAGTTGTATTTGTCATATTCTTATTTTACTTTCATTATTATTATCATTATTATTTTATGTTTGTGTATAAAAGTAGTTGATAGATCTTTTAAACTAATAAAATTATTTCATACATAGGTGAATATACTACTTGTTTTTTTATTTTTTTATTTTATTTTTGAGGTTTTCAAAAGTGTAGCATTTATTCTAGTAATATTACAAGTGACCAAAATTCTTTAAAACAATTGTGGTAGTAAATATGTTTTTATCTACAAACTTTGCAAATGATAATTATTGGAATAAACTTGTTAGATGTTATTTTTTCATCCTACTAAAGATAAATCTATATAATATATATATATATAGAAAAGAAAAAATTGTTGAGCTTGTTTTTTATTTTTATTTTCTTTTTTAATTTAAATTGTTTATTGTTATTATTATTTTAGATAGATATTGTGAATAAAAGAAAAAGAAAAAAAAACAATTTCTTTTAATAGATTCTTAAGACTAGAATTGTTCTCTTGTGCATTTACTAAGATTGTATTTGTACCAATATATAAGATATTAAAGATTATTTTGGCTACCAAGGAAGTTATGTAAAAGTTTCTTCAAGACCATAAGAGTTGTAGATAAAGCATTTTTGTAGGTTCCTTTCAAAATAACATATCTTATTTTTAATATCATATATCTTTGATTTTTTGTTGTACAAAGCAAACGTATACTTTGTTTCTTCTCATATTTTTTTAATATACAAGAATGTTATACAAATAAAATACAAAATAATTACATATAAATCAATAAAATAAATCATTAATTAAATGCTAAAAAAATAAAGCAATTTAGGATAAAACATTATATTCAAAATAGCCAAACCTAAATTTAAATACAATATTCTATTCACTTTCTTGTTTATAACATATTAGATTCAAGATTTCTTATAAATCTATCAAAATAAAGAACTTATAGTTACTTAATTAGTCAAACAATTCCGATATCAAAGAAAAAAGAATAGATTTCCAATAATTGATTTTTGAGCTTAAAAAAACCTGTGCACATTTTAAATTATGTAAGTTTTTATTTTTTTTATTTTTTATTTTTTGATATATATAATTCACAATAAAATTTGAATACTTGCAAGAAGTTTTAAATGTTAAATAAATTTATTTGAATTGTCTTGTTAACACATTCTTTAAGATTTTTTTTCTTTTTTTTTTCTTTTTTTGCAATAACTAATAAATTGGTTCAAATTGTGGTTCAAATCCTTCTTAAAGGTTAATTGTAAATTTATAAAGACAATGTAGAGAAAAGAATATAATATTTTTTTTACATACACCTTAATATCTTTTAATTGCCTCAAGATTTTTCTACAACTTCTACTCTAATGACAATAAGGGGTTATACAAATGAAAAAAGAACTCGTTTTGTTGCTCCTCGTGTAATTTTTTTATTTCCTACAAGTAGTTTATATATATATATATATATATATATATATATAGACATAAAACATACTTCTTATTTTTGATGTTTTTGTAGAGAAATCAAGAAGAGATTTAAGACTATATCTACAATGCTATTCTATTTAAAATACTCTATTCTATATAAATACTCTATTCTATTTTTAAATAATAAATTCTAACCAAAGTTCATTCAAAACAATAGAATTAATAGGTAGTTTAATAATATAAAACACTATTTGATTTTTTTAACCTTTGACAACTACTTTTACAAATAACATTACAATAGTTTTTTTTTTGCTATCTACAAGTCTAAGTTGAAACTTTTTATATCAAAAACACCTTGTGATATTTTTTTAAAAAATCTCATTAAGAAAAAAAAAATACTTAAAATAGAAAAAATAATAAGAAAAAAGAAGAAAGAAAGATATTAAAACTATAATAATTTAATAATTTAAAATAAACTTGCAATAAATATTTTTAAAAAAAAAACATCATATACAAAATAGTCCAGTTATATAATATTCTAATGTAATTAGCTCAACTTGATCTTTAAATTTTTATATTTTTTAAAAATTTATACACTTTATTTTTTCTTATTTTTATTTTTGAACAATATTAAATGATGTTTTTTATATCTAATATTTTAGATAAAAAATAATAGATTGTTTTATTTAGTGCTTGAGGATTATATAAGTTGAGGATTAATTTCTTCACCTCATATTATATTTTATAAGAAATTATTTGATAAACTCAACATTGTTCTACTTGACCTTAATGGTTGTTAAAATTAAAAAGAACACATGGGTACAAATCAATTTTTTTAGTTGCAATCTAAATTTTTATTAGTTGATAAGTAAATTGCATCATATTTTCTAAAAATATTTTGAAATTTTGTTAGAAATGCATCTAAGTTCTCTACTTTACAATCTTTTTTTAAAAAAATAGTTTAAATTAAGAAATAACATATATACTAAGTAAAGTTCCAATAAAATTTATTTGAGATATTTGGGTTGAGAAACTTAATTAGGTACTTAGAGTTCTAAGAACTTAGAGTTCAAATTAGGTACAAATGTATTTCTATGAGTCACTTTAAATAATATAGTTGCTGAAAAACCCTTTATATTTATATGTCTTCTTGATTAGTTTTTTCTAATGTTGATTAGAGTTGTAGACAAAATAATACATAGCAAGTACGTAATGTTTTTGTTAAATTATTAATAATATAAATATAAGTAAAATTTTGAAAAAATAGTGTAAACATGTCTTAATTAAGAAAAGAAAATAAATAAACCAAATATAGAATTGATATTATTACAAGATAGAAGAACTACAATTGCTATTGTAAAATAGAATAGAAATAGAAAGTTTTGAATTGAAATTAAAATACCATTAATGCATTAACAAGACCAAAAAATTCATTAAGCTTGCTTGCATATATACTAGCTACAAAGAAAGCTTAGTAGAAGCTTCTTCAAGATCACATGGTTTATACATCTAGCATCTAAGTTATAGAATCCTTCTATAACAACATTTCAAATATAAAAAACTTCTAAAAGAGATTATTATCTACAATACATATCAAGATAAATTTGTAAATCTAATTCATATCCAAAAAAAACTTAACAATAATTCTTGAAGAAGATATTATTTTTTCAACATGATTTTAGTTATTTCTATTTACTCAAGTAATATTGGTAATTTTTTCATTAAAGATTAATACGCTTTATACAAAATAATGAATATCAAAGAAAAAAATTATAAGATTTTTATTAATGTTTTCTTTAAGTACTATCAATTTTTTGTTTATGAACAAAAAAATATAAGCTTTAAAATCTAATTAAAAAATAAAAAAATCATATAACATAATATTTGGATCATAAACAAAATTTTACATTAAAACAAACACATGATTCATATGATAACATGTGACCTTTATAAAATGATATCGTACAAAATCTACTTCACAAAATTGGATATTTTTTGAAGTTGGATTTGAATTATAATTTAAAAGAAATTTTAAAACTCAACAAACTTGGCTTTGGTTCAGCAAAACTTCTGAAATTTGGAAACTCTTTATTCATTAATAGATGTGGTGAAATTCTGGTCAACATGTAACTTAGATTTTATTTTGTAAATTGTAGATATTTTATATTCTAAATGTAAATTTTTAATGTGATATAACTAAATGTTATGTTGGAATCTTTTTCTTTGGGTATTTTATTTTTCCAAAAAATAAGAATTAAAAAAAAGTAATTTGAAATTGTTGCTTAACCATTTTTATTTGAACAAGGCAAAATCTGTTTTTCAAATATTTGTCATATGTTTTAACAAAATTAATCTTTGATTTTCATTTTTATTTAAATTCTTAAACTGAAACTTTATCATTATTATATTGTGTTTATAATGATATGTTGCAATACATGAATTACGTAGTAACAAAACGAATAAAATAGTCAATCACAAAAATGTCACAGGGAAAATACAACTTTATCAGACATATCCATTACTACAGAAGTTCTACTTGGATTTCCAGATTTTCACCCACAAACCAACGTGTATTGTACTTAAGAAGACACTGAATTTGGTGGAGATTGTTCCAATTATGCAGTTTATGCTTCCCAATAAAACCTTGCGATTAAACTTTGCAGGATTTTCTTCCACCATACAACCACACAATTTACCAAGACTATGAAATATAATTTCTTAAACAAGGTCCGACACTTACATATAATGCAGCTGTGATCGACTAAAATGTCTGTTTGGCCAATATCTAGATTGAAGCGCATATCATTGTCTCATTTACTAAAGCAGTAAATGGAAATAATAATTGAATATCACATTAGTGTACAATAGATCAATGACTACCTATGCATAGCCATATGCTATTCGATGCATTTAATCAAACAATCCACTACTTTCACGACTTGAATCGCTTGCTCTATCACCTAATCCCTACATTTTTCGTCTGCCAATGCACGAAAGCCTACACTCTTCTGTGACACGAAATCCTTCAAGTGATGAGATCAAGGACCGTTCCCACACCTTACCCACTAAGATCATCTCCAAGTCAAATAACCTCTCAATCCTGGCTATCCCTCTCCACGATGTTAAGATTTTTTTTCCTAAATAAACAGTTTCCGTTCTGTATTGCGAATCTGGGAAAACATCCTCCCAATGTTACGAGGCTGCCATGACAAACACATAGAATACAGGTTCACTGCATAATACAAGTTGCACATTGAAGTGTTTTCTTCTTTCAATAGTGCACAAGGAGGAGCTTCACACTTGCATGTATTTACACGTCAATGATGTCAAGCGTCCGTGATTGGGAAAACCCATCTTCAGTTTTAGCACACATTGGACATAGCTTAGTTCGACATCCTTTGCACGCCTTGCAGATTGTGGCTTTCGAATCTCCCTCCCCTTGTATGCTCAAAAGCTCTTCCTTTTGGAGCCAACCTGCACTCCAGCGCTCTCTGTCCTGTTAACACAATGAAACAAGGGACTCTCGTCATCTCAAACTACAGTGAGTTCAATTGAACTCCACTTCATCATCGTATCTTCTAAGCGTCAACTTCTTGAAGGCCCTACGTTGAAGATAGAGTGCATGCAAGATATCCAACAACCGCCCTTGTGGTTTGACCCTATCAGCTCGAGTTTTGAAGGGGTCGACGAACCTTAAGAATCTTGGCATTCATCCAAAACCGGGTTGTCTCATCACACGTTGAGACCATTTCCAGAAACCAATCCTTCCCAGGCCCTCGGCGCTTAGAATGGACATGGAAATGACGCCACCCAAATGTGGTCTCCATCGCAGTCCATTTCGATCCTGCTCACATTTGGAATCAGGTGTAGGGTTTAGGGTTTAGTTATAACTTCCTCTCCTCTTGGAATCCACACATGGAACACGTATCCGCAACGTCATTGGCAATATCAAGGTTTCCAGCTGGTGTCTGGGACGTCCCTTCACAGGACTGTAAATCAAAAGCAACAGCTGTCTGCGATAGTTACTCACCCACAATGCGCGCTATTGACACTGGATTCCTCTTGTGAAATCCTCCTCGCGCAAGACTGCCTAGGCCATCACATACATCACACTTGACTTCCCCTGAGCCTGCAATTAAGAAAGACACCTTTCATGCGTGATTCCTTTACATACGCAATGAACATGCAACAGGGATTGTATCAAAAAGGACACTACAATTGAGACAAAAATGCGTGTACAAAACATCAATTCAAAAGCAGCAATAAACGATTAACATATAGACCGTGCAGTTGTTTCGAAGTAATACGGTGAAGAACATCAATGTAGAAACTTCTCAAGACTGAAAAAGAATACTTCTGATTCTTACAAAATTGAACACGAACTGCGCTCAAGGTAGTCTCTAAAATTTGAAGTGATTCGCTACTTGGCTAATACTCACCAGAGTTAGCAAATTTAAAGAAAGTTTAGCTGAAGTTCCTATGATTCCTTAGAAGTCACTCAGCTCATGTATGGATTCAAATCCATTGATAAATAGTGGCAATTTATCTAAAACCTAATTAGGTTGTGGGAATTTCAGAACAGTGTAACAATGTGTATCAGACTGACTCTAGAAACAAATTAACTGATGCGACCACTCGCATTCATACCTTGGCATAATCGACAAGGAACTACAGTGTAAATATTGGACAGGGGTTTCACGAAGAGGTTGTCTTCTGCCGCAATCCGTTGAGCAGGCGCACCGCTTCCCGCCTGTCCCGATGCTCTACATTTGGGAATACACGCTCTTGAGTCAACTCCTTTCGGGGGCGCCACACTAAGGATGGACCGGTTGATGTGGAATTCCCCCGGACACATAAACCTGCTGCTCAAGCTGCTCAAGCGACTCAACTGCATGCCGCAAGCCATTCTTAATCTCTGGAGAGTTCCACGAGCTTAGAATCACATGATCAGGGTGCCGCTGTACCCAAAAAAGAACTTCTACAATCGTCTGTCATTCTTCAAGCACATTCGTGACGGAATGGAAGCACCCACGTTATCGTTTAACATGGGCACAAAACAAACGTCTACACGATACTCGTGCAAAATGGAAAATCACACAACCCTGACCAGCACACGTGCTACAGCTCGCAGTCTTCTTCACGGCCACAGTTGAGCGCCTCCCAGATAATTTTCCACTCTAGAACCCTTGCAAACCGCAGCTGCAATCCAGCTACAGTTTACAAATTAAGAAAAGTTGTAAGCCAAGTAGGAACGCTGGATTCAAATCTCATTGAACGCCGTGTACAGCTCGTCGGTGCCAGAGATTCATGAGCATTAATAATGTGAAAAGCATTGAAGATATTAAGGAAAAAGACGAAGTCTGTGGTGGTTGTGAGGCGGCCACGCCCGTCGGTGGATAGCGCACCCATCACCGCTGCTCCATCCACTCTGTCTCACTGAGTTGTGTCCTTAACACTCATGGCCCACTTAAAATTCTGGACGTTGTTGTCGAGTCCGATTCCCATCAAAGAAGGTTGCGATTTCAATTGTGTACTCGAACTCGCAACATAGACACGAAGAGTTCCCAGAAAACAGCATTTTTGTGGTTGGAGCCCGAAGGCCGTTAATGGTCACAGATCCTCAGATCTCCACGGTTGAATTTCGTGGTGATATCAATTTCTACAAAACTCATGCTGTCGAGAAGTGCATGGTTATTCACTTTGAGATCTGGGATCCGAGAAACTGCGGTGGTATTTTTCGATTTTACGGACCCGTTATCAGGTAATATTCTGATAAATAAAAACTTCACCAGCTATAAGGGCTTCCTCTTTCTAACACTCAACGCACCTGCACAAGCAAATGTTGCAGCCCCTATAATTGTTTGAGACATTCATTCCTCGACTTCCAGCTACGTCAAAATGCTTGGTATCAACAAATGAAGATAATTCTCTGTACATTTTTTAAAATTGAGTACAACAACTCTGGTTCTCAATCAACAATAACATGAGAATCCGACTTGTCATGAAAATAATTAAGGAAAGACCCACCACAACCGTTTCAAGAACTTGTAAATAATACAAAAAGAAAAGAAAATGATGATGTTAGCACTCAACTTGCACGATCTTGTTGGTTGTCTGCAAGTGTTACCATAACCTGTACACAGAAGTGACTAGAACATATCTCTGCCAATTTGGGAATCATGGTACTATAACTATTTTACTATAAACGTATCTTTTAGAAGTTTAATTTGCGCCTTTTGATATGTAACAAAACGCGCAAAATTCAACTTCACAGACGTATTCTGATCATACCAAAACCAACAGTTGCATTCCTCAATCAAGTTGGTCAAATGTCTTGAGCATACTGCCGAGGAAAAGAATAGGTCACTGCACAGACTGCTTTCACCGGAAACGGTTGAGACGGGACAGCGTGGTGGCATTTATAGGTGCTTCCGCAAATGAATAGTGCCTCTGCACAAAGAGTTGGCCACAAAAGACAATTATCGTAACTCCATTTGATACTTTGTCAGCTTACCGGCATCTATGTTTTCTTTCCACTATTCTCATTGAAAAATGTGTATGTCGAGGTACAGAATAAATATCTTGAATACCTATTCCTAAACATAAATACAGTAGTAACGATGTCAAAGGTTCCTAACTACCTCAAGATAATCGACTTAGCAAATCCTTGTAGTGAGACGTTGTCACGACCGAAGTACGGGATTTACCGCTGTTGTTTCAAATAAAATAAAATAAAAAACGAAAAAGAAAGAAAGAAGTACGAGAATAACCCGAGGGAAAAGCTTAATAAAGTTAAATTCCATAATCTATTCAAACAATACAACAGCAGCTAATAATAATCGAAGCAGACTTAAATATTGCTTCAGCACACAGATTGAGACTACATCACAATTGGAGCAAGAGGAACATCGGGTCCAGCAATAAAATTCGACAGCAAGAAATTATTCGCACAACAGAAGATTGAGTAGAAGATTGACGCAAAGAAAGTCCATGCAATTAACCTCACTGAAAGCGACTAATTCCATAGGTCGTTTTGATCCATCGACAACACCAACGCGCTCTACCTCGGAATATATATATTTCATTTATTTTTTATTTTTTAATGTTGTAGCATAATAAATATTATTTTTTCTAATGGTTATATAGAATTGTAAGTGTTACAAAATGTAAGAATGATAAGAGTTGTATTAAATGTTTTTATTAGTACTTTGAATGAATGTAACAATTAAAAATCATTCTTATTTATAGCACTCATCTTTAATTTAAAAATGAACAATAACACGTAATTGTGCTTCAATATGTCTCAAAAAAATTAATTGGAAGAAAAGTATTATAATTTTCTTTTCCAAAGAGTCTAGGATAATACTCAATAAATTAATTTAACATCACAAAGCATAAATAATGTCGATTTAGCATCTTAGTTCTAAAACACAATACAATAATTTATCTTCCATTAACTTTTATTTTTAAAATAAAATTTATATACTTAGCTTATGAGTGTACAATAGAACTTTGTAAATGTAGAGTACAAAGTGATAAGAATACAACTTCATTCCACAATCTTTGGAGCCACACTCAAAATTACATCTCATCAAAGAATATAATTTATATCATTAGTAGGATTGATATTAGTAAAAGAAGAATATAACAATCACAACTTTACGTATATTTCTCTCTATCAATAATAGATTTTGATTGCAAATTAAGTGATAGCATCTAATAAAAACAAATTTACAACACTACCTTGAGTTGTACTAAAACTTCTTCATATATCTACTAAGACAACAAATACCAATTTCTTGCATTATAAACCATTCAAACCATATTCAAGAATATAAAAAACTTCTAATTAAACAACTTGACAAAATTCTAAAACAAAATTTGTATATTTGGCCATAGCCATGTAATAAAAGCTGTTGGTGAAGTTGAACAAGAGAAACTTCAACTCAACTTTACTAGACATTTGATTGAAACAAGCTTTATTTATTCATTTGTTCATTTAGTGGAATGTTAAATAGACTCAAATTTTTACTGGGTTAGATTTCATTGGTTTTAGATCCACTAATGGAGAAATGAATCATTTTTTTTTCATGATGGTTAGGATGGGTGGATCAATTTAATAAAAGCCTGCGTCTATTTAAGATTCTCCTATATTTATTCATTTATTTGTACACACTCTAGCTCTCTCCCACAAGCGGAAGCAGAAAGTCATAGAGGTCGCGATTCAGAACTTGTAGAAATTAGGGCTAACCATTTTTACTCACCGCTCAAGCTCGTCTTCTGGATCATGAATTTGTTGGACACCGATGTTGCAGTTGATGGTAGTTTCTGGACTTGGAGCTGCAATGGCGAAAACCGTCAACGCTGCTGCAGCCACGCAAAGTCCAAAACAGATATTGAGTTACAGCTTTGAATGTAATACAGAATTCAATGCAACTTATGATTTTCAGTTTACTCGACAATATGTCCTTCCAAACGCCATCGCTCAATTAGTTTTGGGTTCTGAATGTCGTCGGACTGAATCGCATTCCGAGGTAGAGCGCGTTTACTGTCTGGGGTTCTGCTCTGAACATCTCCCGGCTTCATGGCAGAAGCAGAGAGAGTAGTGCAATGCGACCAGTGGCCGAGGAAGACAGAGATTCAACGCGCCCGGACACCACGTTTTTGTCTGGAGAAACGGACAGCTCGCCGTGAGAGCCTGATTGTTTGTTCTCCACAGGGGTCAGCGAAGCGCTTGTTGACGACACGCATTCGACGTCGAAACGCGCTCTTCGGATGGAGACAACGGCACGAAATCGGTGCCTGGGGGTGGGTTGCTTGGTGGCGATGGATTCACAAAGAGCGAATGTGTGATGGGTGCATGTGCATGGCCGAGATGCACCGCCAGCACCTGCACTTGCGATGCCATGAAACAATCCTGCCATAGCCACTGTTGCATCACTGACCAGATCTCACCTCCGACTCCACTCGGATCCCTCGAATCCTCCCCAGTTTAGTATTCTAAACCCTAAAAGCTGTCGCATAAGCTCACCAAGCATGGCCTTGAGCGGCTCTTGTGCATATAGTACGGTCATTTTGTGATAAAGCTCTGCTTAGGTCCTGAATTTAGCAAAGATATTAGTGATATATTAGGATTAAAAACATAAAAAAGCTTTCTTTTTTGTGAAGAACAATGTGTGAGAGGTGGGTCCGATTGCTCGGTGCCCACTGCGAAGATGCAGTGGCCCTCCTTGTGCATCGCATTGGGGTAAGATCATGGGAAGAGAGTCCTTTTTGTCTTCAAATATGTTAACAGAGATATCCACATGTGCGAACAAACAAATTTAGAAAAACAAAAATGAAAAATTAAAACAAAAAGAGCAAAAGAGCATGTGATCAGATGCCCTAACAGAGGATTCTCTACAAAGGATATTGGATGAGGTGAAAAGTCAAATAAAAGTGATAAAAAATGATAAAGAATGTTGGTTTTGAGAATCTCATTTTTTTGATCTACTGTCCATAAACAAAAAAAGAGAGATAAACACTAAAGATAATATTCTTTAGTGTGTGGATTGTTTATGACAATGAATGATGAGGTTTTTGTGATTTTTACAACTTTCCTTTGTTTACTTGTTTGTTTTTGATTTAATATTTATAGTAAAAAAATCACTTTTTATGATTTTTTTTTTTTGTTGCTTTGTTTGTTTTTTAAATAAAAAAAATTGACTTGTTATGATTGGTTCGATTTTGTTTTGCTTTGTCTGTTTCTTTTTCTTTGATGGATTTCATTTGGATTAAATATATATATACAGTGACAAACAAAACCGAGTACAAAATCTGAATACTCATAGTTCATTAATCCTTCCAACTGACACATAAGTCAATTGATAGAATTACTTTTTTATTGTGTATATTCATCCAGTCTTCTACATGGATGAAAAATCTCATTATCATTTGAGGTAGGGTTTATGAGAAAAGTGTTGTAGAAGCACACAGACGTGCATACTCAGTTTTGGTTGCTTCTTCTTGCTGAATTTCGAAATTTCAATGTACACTCCTTGTTGCAAGATTTGAGGGTATTTTTTGTTTGTTGTGTTGCTCTTGTTGTGTACTATCTATAGTGAAAGTTGATTTGTCAATTGTATCTCTATGCCTCGGTTGTATGAATCATTGAAGCACCAAGCATTGGTGCAGCTTAGGAGTGGTGTTTCTACAAGAAAAGTTGTAGACTCACTTGGAATGAATCAGACTTCAGTAGCTCATTTGAGGAGGGAGATTAGTAGTGAAATAGAAAAGCAAAGAGGAGGACGTCCAAAGGTTTTAGGAGAGCAAAAGAAGCG